TTTTTGGCTTAACAAAGGTTTAATTCTTAGTAGAATTGGCTCAGCTGAGCTGAGTTATGTCTAAATTAGATTTATTGCAGATACAGTGTAGTAAATCAAAGAAGTTGCAGATTGTCTCTCGTTTCATAAAAATTTAGGTCCTTGTTGATTCTAACTAGAAGACAGAAGAATTCTCCAATTAATTATTTTCATGATTGGAATGATCACACCCCATGCTATTCTGCGGCTCGAGTTTATCATGATATCCGACCAGGATGCATAGCGCTTCAACCCAATTCAAACTCCTTCTATACCACTGCATATGTTGATTCCGTCCTCGCTTGCTACTTCATCATGTTGTTTCCTGGCCTGAAAATTGTACTTTAGATTCCTTGTTCGCGTTCCAAAACACAAACTATCATCAAACAGAAACTATGAGGACATACGTGAGGTAAAGTAGTCTCTCGAAGCTTTGAAACATACTGTCCCAAACAATCCTCTGAAACCTGCAAACCGAAGAATACTTACCAATAGAGCAATTTTCAATTGGTCTCGAAAAAAATCCGAGATCGCTTTGGTTTTGCTCTTCTTTGCTCTGTGATTGGCTAAAAAACTCGCACCTCTCTCTCAAACAATCAGATCCAAAACTAAATTCAACAACTACGTGGTACTTTGAGATCTCATTGGCTATTGAAAATATTTTCCATTCTTTTAATTGGCTGTTGTGATTACTTTGGTTTCGGTTCTAGGACTCTCGATTGAAAAGCACCTTAACTAAAGTATGGCATGAATATCATCACGACTGAACCAAAGTTATAATAGAGTAAAAGGGATATATTTTGCAAGAATATAATCACCTTGAGTTATAGTACTCTTAACTCTCTTATCTCCTGTATAGGTGCAGTCAAATTCAACAAAGTTTTACCATGGGAACGCGACGCTGATATAACTTTCCTTACTGGGAACTACTCGGCGTTTAAGAAGCTCCGTTCAAAGTTTCAAGCAGCTGGCTACAGTCTTAGTGACGATGACGGCTCCTTGTGGTGCTGCGCAGACGGTCGGCAAGCTGGGGGCAAGTTTAGAATAGGCACAACCCGCTGGACTCTAGAACTGTATGGTCAACACATTATGGAATCTGAGACTCTTGTAGCAAACGGTCAGCGGCCGACAAAAGTACAATTTTCTGGACAATGGGTGACTGTAATGCGCAATCCGGGACTTTTTGCCCGTAATCGTTACGGACCCGGTATATACCGTCACCAGGAACACTGGATGGATATTGGACACGGAACTGGATGGGCTTTTTACAATCCCGGCTCCTTTTCAACGTGTGCGCAACCGGGTCATTCCGGTTGTCTAGACAAGTTTTCTTCCGATGGTAACCTACAGTTTAGTGATTACCCGTTCGTTTGATTTTCGGACACGAGTGGCAAATTTACCATCTTTATAATAAATGCTTCTTTTAAAAATGTGTCGTGGAGGAGAAGAAACTCGATAAAATCATTGATAACCCCGGAGGATACAAATTCGTGAGCTGATAATGCGCCGACCAATTCGAAACTCCAAAATCCCTCCCCTCACCCGGGCATTTGACCGTCGTCCGTGCCCGGAGGGTGGGGAATCAGAACCTTGCCCTCCCCGTAAAGGCTATGCCTAATTTTATGACTAGATTTTAGTTTCTTTTTATGAATATGATTAATCTTTATGATCTGAAACTATTTAGGTAGCTTTTGTCTAAATTGGATCTTACTTAAACTAACATTTTATCTGCCTAGTGTGGTGTGCGATTTGCACAGGTTTATTTTTCATTACACTTGCCAAACTCTAGTGAAAAGGAAGAAAAAAGTAGACTCTGTGAAGATCTATAAATCTAAATGAAGAAGTATTTTGAAAGAGATTACCAAAATTTAGTGGTCTGTTCAAGAAACATTTATCTCGAAGTGAAGTATATTTTTAAGAGAACAATTAACTGTGTTCCTAATGTTACAAAACACTTTGTTCCTAATGTTACAAAACACTTTGTTCCTAATGTTACAAAACACTCAGAAACACTTGTTGTTATTAATAAAGGGAAAAATAACCGTGCTGGCTTTTGTTTTTTTCTTACGAGGATAAGTGTTATTACACTTTAGTAAAGACTGGGGCACGATTAATGAATTTCTAGCCGTCTGACTGGCTGAACGAAGCCGTTTTATGAACTGTAGCCCAGCTCCGAGCCTATAACCAAGCCGGAGATTATAAACCTAGCTCCAACAATATGGTGAATGAATTTGTCAGCGAAGAGGGGAAAAAATTGCTTTGAGCATGTTATAATGACATTTGACACCAACGAAAGGTCATTGTTTCACTGACCTTTCAAACCAAATAAAAGTTCATCGGTAGAATTATTTTAGGGCACCTTTTTTATTAAAAATAATTATTCTAACTCGGCACTACGCACCTTGTTGACCTTGTTAGCTATTTGTCATCTCGTATTAGGCGCGCCCTGTAGAATAAATGTGACAACCGACATCTTTAGGGAGCTAATATACAGTGCGATTGTCCTCTAGCTTTCGCCTGATATACGCTCTCCGTCCTTCGATCGTTACGTAAGTATCTTAGTCATTTTAGGGTTCTCCTTTATTTGATTGTTGCGTAAGTATCTGGTGCTCTTTTGGGGTTCTCTTTCATGCAATTGTTAGACTAGTATCTCGCGCACTCGTTTAGAATTCTCTTTCATTCGATTATTATGTATGCAATTCCTGCACTGTTAGGATTCTCTTTCATCGGATTGTTTTTTTAGTATCTCACACATATTCAGGACTCTCTTTGTTGGATTGTTACGATAATGTATGGCGCACTTTTAGGATTCACATTCAGGACTCTTTCTTTGGTTGCTACGTTATTATCTCACGTACTTTTAAGATTCTCTTTCATTCGAGTGTCAATTAAGTATCTCGAGCATTTTTAGGATTCTCTTCCATCGGATTGTGACGTTGGTATCTAGCGCACCTTATAGGACCAGATACTTCATTCACGCGCATTTTTGAGATTGTCTTACATTCGATTGTCACGTCTGTATCTCGTGCAATTTTAGGAATTAGGATTCTCTATCATCGGATTGTTACTTTAGTTTCTGGTGCACTTTTAGGAATTTTGTTCCTTGGAGTGTTTCGTTAGTGTCTCACGCGCATCCAGGCCTCAAGACTCCCTTTTGTTGGATTGTTACGATAATGTCTGGCGCACTTTTAGGATTCTCTTTCATCGGATTGTTTCGTTAGTATCTCACGCAAATTCAGGACTCTCTTTTGTTGGGTTGTTATGATAATATCTGGCGCACTTTTAGGATTCTCTTTCATCGGATTGTTTCGTTAGTATCTCACGCTCATTTAGGACTCTCTTTTGTTAGATTGTTACGATAATGTCTGGTGCACTTTTAGGATTCTCTTTCATCGGATAGTTTGGTTAGTATCTCACGCACATTCAGGACTCTCTTTTGTTGGGTTGTTACGATAGTATCTGACGCACTTTTAGGATTCTCTTTCATCGGATTGTTTGGTTAGTATCTCACACACATTCAGGACTCTCTTTTTTTAGATTGTTACGATAGTGTCTGGACTCTCTTTTGTTGGATTGTTACGATAGGGTCTGGCGCACTTTTAGGATTCTCTTTCATTGGATTGTTTCGTTAGTTTATTGCGCACATTCAGGACTCTCTTTCATTTTATTGGTACGTGAGTATTTCGCGCACTTTTAAAATTCCCTTTAATTCGATCAGTTACGTATGGATTTCATACACTTTTAGGATTCTCTTTTACTGGATTTTAGTATAGGTAATAGCATGATTTCGAGTGCAATTTGGTGTTTAAAAGTACGGGTAACTTTTTCAAAGAAATCGAAATTGCACAGCGCGTACAAATTTTGTAGTCTTTATTTGTATTGCTTTGTATTGCGGGGGACTTTGGTCAGCGTCACGATAAAATATACCTGATCCTTCCAGAAGGCCTTTTAATATTCTCATGATTATCTCTCATTGGCAGTCAGTTTTTAATAATTATCCTTTATACTCTGTTGGCGACGACTGACCCCCCCCACCCCCCACCGAAAGCCATGTGATTCGTTCCTCTCTAGTTATGCACTTATCAGGAAACACAATAATTTTTGTGGAGTCTTGTCGAAGACATGCCGCACGTTATCAAAAGAATATTCATATGAATAAATGATAAGATCATCCGTAAATTAAAATTTTCATTTATAATTTTGGACATCGGACAGTTAAGGAAATTGAACTTTGAGGACAAAGCATACAAATTTAGAAGTTTTAACGATCAATCCTAAGTCTCACCAAAAAGCAGCTGCAATTTTGTACAACATCTATTGACATGATTGATTTTATACTCAGGCAAATGAATTCCAAATTTTTTTTTTCAAAGGCACTTTTGTTATTTTTCTCTGGCTTTCTTTTTTGTAAAACATTTGCAAAGTATTCGAATAAATTCGTAAATTGGTTAATCATTATTTAGTCTGGTGCATTGATCAGTGAGAGCACAGCCCAATTTGTAAGTGAAAACATTGTTTGTCTTTCTAGAACAGCGAGAGACATTTATCTTCGCCGTCAAGTCGCCAGAACATGACGTTGAAGTAAACGACCTCGTCTCTTTGGCGAATCACAACGTTAGGAATCAAATTCTTTCGAACTCAGTTAAGGCAACAAGCACAGGCCACATGACCTGAAGCTATGATTGAATCACTCTCGCTGGAAATCCAGAAATTAGTTCAAAGAAGCCAAAATTTTGAAAAATCATGAAACACCTGACCAAGATTTGAAATCCCTGATGAGAATTCATTTCGTTTCCTAAATTGACGTCTTATGATGAATGCGAGGAGGCTTTCAAGTGCCAGCTGACGAAAGCATATATACACGTGTGTATGCATGTGGCACAGAGGCAATCGATTAACTTTTGTTAGAAAACTCCTTTTCTTTGCAGAGGGAGAGTGACAAGGAGAAAAATGAAACTTGCATTGCATCAAAACATCTCTTTACTAAATTTACATTTACATATCACTTTTCCAGGGGACTAGGTCAGCTCGGTCGCTCGCGCAAAATAAAGTCCAAAAATTTCCTTTTCATTGAGGTTCGTCATTCAAGTTTTCATCAAAGTCATCAAAGAATGAAAAAGTCCCCATCAGTGAAAACGATTATATATAAAAATACGTGGTTATCCTATTTATTCTGCATTTCAATCAATGTTCTTGATTTATATCTTCGTGGCGATCATGGTACAAAAACGTAGCAATTCTTTAGTATATTCTATATTTCACAAATATTAATCCTCTTGCAGCGACAGAAATGCATATGAATATAAATGTTAAGGCTGATCTACTCATTTTCTTTCCAAAAGAATACCTCTAAAAACATTTTTGAACAAAGATGTAACACTTAGCACGAATAATATCAAACCTTTTAATCAAAACCCTTCCAATTTATTCACGGGGATGGTTTCTCTGTTAAGTAAAATAATTACCAGCCAGGTCTCTGACTCAGAATTGTGTTACGTTCACGTCCTAAAAAGAATTATTCCCATTTTCGAGTTTGTTTTGATTACGCCGGTTCTCACTCTTGCAGAGAGCTTTTCAGTAATCGCGAAATAAGAGCATAGTAATTAAAACTTTCAGCAGGAATGGTTTTTGTTTGTCATAGATTGTTTACTTAAAATTTTCCTTTCCGGAGAAGATTTAAAAGGGTCACTTGCTTTCCAATGGCTTGTTCATATGTCTCCCTAATTTGACAAAAAAAATAAAAAAGGGCAACGAAGCTATGGCTTTGCGACATTAGCGAAAAAAAATTTTCAGTTTTTGGATGAATGGCAAAAAATTTTCACAACGCAACGATAAAACATATGCTTTCATTCCCAGAGATGTAAATTTTAATGGAGATAAACAAACTGCTAGCAATGTGTGATTATGAAAAGATGACTATTTGGCTCCCCTGTAAAAATTAGATATCGTTTTCATGCACAAAATTAACAAGTAAAATGCGCTTTTTTATTACCTGTGCTCGCTATTTTCGAGCAGTTTTTCCTCTTATAGTAAAGCGAACCACAATTGAGCCAACAAATTTGCACTCATGTCAAAAATAAGGGATCGCAGTAATGTATACCATCTTGATAACATTTACATCTTTTCACTCGATGGAACTTCGTTTCGTTGCAACGGTTACAAATGTCCCCGTTTCGCTTTGCGATGACTGCCTCTTAGCCCTCACATTCATTCTAACATGACCACAAGGTAAAGAACCTCTCGCTAAACGAGCCCTTTGTGTCCCAAGAAATAATTCCAACAATGCTCGCCGAAATCGCCTCTGAAGAAGACCATATATAAAAGGATCTATAGCACTCTTTAGAAAGGCAATCCACCTTAAAGAGATTGTTACAGTATGGCTTAGCGACAAGCCGTTTTCTCTCAGCTCAAGGATGCGGAGCGTTGTATACGGTGCCAAACAACACAAAAACGCACCAATCACGAAGAGAATTTTCCTCGCTGCCTTGAATTCTCGCTGACGACTTGATTCAGTGGATAAGGGTCCACGAACAGGTGCGAGATGTATTGCGGTAATAACAGCATGTCCGATTCTGCGAGAGTGCAGCTTTGCCACGTTGAAAATTTTATAGTAAGTCACCAACATAACAAAGAGCGAAACGCCAGCATTGGCTGCATAAGTAGCCGCTGTGAACACCAGGAAGTTTATGTCCTGAAGATCAGACGGAAATGTACAGAAGAAATATCGCGTATTGAATTCGTACCAACCAAACCCTATTGGTATGAGAGAGAATATTATGGATTGCAACCATACGAAAGATATCATCGCTAACGCACATTGAACTGTCATTTTGGCTCTGTACTGCAGAGGCTTGCAAACTGCAATATAGCGGTCCGCGGATATGGTAGCGAGCGTTAATACGGCTGCGAGCCCTAACACCATATTCCAAAACGCACTGGTTTGACACCAAAAGTTACCAAATGGCCATTTGTCGGCCACAATTGCTCCAAAAGAATACGGCATGGCGAAAACAGCCATAAAAAAATCGCAGATTGCGAGATTCACGATAAACACACTGGAGATGTGTCGCCTGAGTTCCTTGCTCCTATAAACCACCAAACAAACCAGGAAATTCATAACCAAGGCTGCAAGAGTCATCAGGAATAAAGACATCGCGAAAGCGAAAACTTCCACGTTTGTTAAGAAACCCATTCGTTGCGTAAATTAGTGCACTCCGTTTCTATGCTAATCCTTGTCGTCGGTTTTTATTCTAAGTTGATCGAGGCGGCGCAGTTGCATATAAACTCGGAGAGTTCAATGTTTCTGCAGCTGCTTGATCAAACGAAAGGAAGCGACAGAATCGTATGGTTTAATTTGGACGCCGATGCCACCAGAATCCTTTAAGTTATCTCCTTGGCACGCACTCCCTCGTAAGTGCGTACTTGCAGAAAACGACGGTTAAAAACGGACGACTTATAGCCCTATTACAAAACCACGCGCTCGATGAATAACCTTCATCGTTTCACTAAATAATGAGTGTTACATCGCATGGAAAAAAAAAATTCATCCAGATTTTTGTGTTATGTGACATATTTCTTCTGTACACAGAACCGAAGACATCCTATTGGACGAAAGGAAAAAAAAGTGACGGTCAATTTGGTTACTGAGCTATAGGGTTTGAAGTTTTTCTATATTGTCTTTTTTAATTAGCAAAGACTTTAAACCATAGGTTAAAACTGGGCTGAAGAGAATTTGCATAACAATGCATAAGACGGGACAATATGTATGTATTACGATCTGACGTTTGTTAAGAATAAAAAATCCCCGTAAGACGAAAAAGTGCCAATTCATTACATGCTCGTATAGATCCATCCCTGAAATATAACATAACTATTATTTCGTCTCCGGGATTTCCCCTTTTTGTAGCTCTGATTAGGGCATTTCAAGGAAAAATTTATGGCAGTTGATCAAAATGAAAACTAAATGTGTAAAACATATCGGACGGGTGAATAATTCAACCATTATCTTACACCACCTTCCTCGCGCGAAACCTTCTGATACACGTAGAGGATAAAGTGGTATGGAACCTTAAGAAACATGAATTCAACCGAGTTTTATCGTCGTATTTGTGATGGCAAAAACGTCCAAAATTTCATGTTTTATGAAAAGAAAAAAATACACTTTATCGCTAAATGATTTCCTTACCTTTGTGAATAACGTGTTATTTGGTGTCAATGAACGACGGAAAATATACGTTTCGCCAAAACTACAAATTACAAAGCCGTTGGTTTTTCAATTAAGTATGTTACGTCCGCATCAGCGAGCATGAATATATTCCTGTCTCCCCAAGCGCTTTCAACGAGAGATGTTTTCAGCTTGAAATTCAATGTATGTTTTTATTGTTTTCAAAGTTAAAATCACCAGGTGCAAGTTTTTCACATGCAAATTGTTCAAGGAAAATCCTCAGACGAGGATGCCAATGTTTACAAAGGAAAAAAATACTAATAAAAGGAATTTCTGTTTTATGTATCGAAGATTTACCGCACAGATTGGCTTTGTGATGAGATTATACCTTCAGTAACTGAGCTTTTTGGGATCAAACTTTCTATGAAATTATTTTAAAATTAGTACGGAATCATTTTCATCCCTACGTGCTCTGATGTAATCCAAAGTTATTACCATTTTTATCTCGGGTGGCAAATATTGGTATAAGGTAAATGAAGCTTTTAGGCTCGCTCATATAGATGCTCTACTCATGATATCTGCCTTTAAGATCACTCAGAACTTACGGCGCTCTTTCACTTATGCGTAATCCTCAATCAATTATCGAGAGATGAGCAACCGAACAAATTAAGTGAAAAATCGCAAAGAGGAAAATAAGTTGTTCTCATGCGAAAGTAAATTGTTAATGGTAATTCTAAGTTCGAAAAATTGGTTAATATGCTGCGCAAGTTTTCGTGAAGAAATCGACAAGTTCCTCACGTTTTAAAGTGGTAACGAAGTCGATTTTCAATTCTACTTTAAGACACAGACCGCTTGATATGACAATTTCCTTTGCAGCATGCCTACATTTTTATGAATAATGCAAAAGCAGGTTCTCGTGAATCAAGCACTTATGGGTGGTTGATAATCGTGGTGAAAAATCGCCTTAAATATCCGAACATAATGAAAACCTGATGATTTTTTCCAAGGAAACTACTTAATGAACGCGTATATCTTTTGTTCACCTTGTAATAAAAGAACTGGCTAACTGACCTCTACAACGATTAACAACTATTTTTAAACATCTTTCAGTGATTCAGTAAAGGTACGTTTATGGTTGCGTTTCCGGTTCAGTCATTTCAACACTTATTCGTGGACATTTTTTTGTCAATAATCATCATTTCTTTTTTTATTTTTTTTATACCGTAACGTAAGTGATCATTCACTTTGTCATCAAAGTCTTTTATAACAGACCAGTCATTATTTGTCGCGGAAGGGGGGGGGGAAGGGGGGGTGAGGAGGCAGATTTTAGGGGGATCACATGGTTTTCGGCAGGAATGAAGGCAGGATCTGTTGTCGCTGAGGGGGGACTATGGAAACTGAGTTTCTTTTATCTTATTAAATCTCTGATTTCACTTGATAATGAGATTGGAAGATTTTCTTTTGATCTTCTCTTCAGAATACAGTGAAACCTATAGTGTGCCTTCAGTTAAGCGGACATCCTCTATCAAGCGGACACTAGGCAGGGTTCAGTAATTAACGTCTTATATTTCCCTTATAATGAACTCCAAATCAGCGAGCACTTCTATTAAGCGGACGCGCACACTAAAATCAGTTGTATTTAGCTGATTTCTATTGTTAAAAACCTTTGTTAAGCGGACACCGGACTGAATTGACAAGTGTATGGGATCGCGTCCTTGAAATAGTCGATTACATGTATTTAATCCAAAAGAAAGAGTCAATCGTTGCTGTTATCTTTTTGCATTATTACCAACAAAGTAGGTAATGAAAGATATTGGACTTGATCACAGGATAGCTTCGTTAACAGCATGGAACTTATTACAGTACAGAGTAACCGTCGAATGCTAATCGTTAACAAACATTGCATAATTTTTACAAACCTCTATTTAAGCGGACACTTGGATAGATCTCGAGGGTGTCCGCGTAATAGAGGTTTCACTGTATCGTGATAATTTATATCCATTACTCCGACAAAAGATGAAACAACTCCCATGCTAACAGGGATATCGTTTGCTCAAGGTGAAAGAATCAACGATCTGATATTGCTAATTTTTTTGGTCCTGGGGTGGGGATTGTCCTTCAAGCAGTTAAATGCAGCAAATATGCCAACTTCCTCCCTTCCCCCCTCCCCCCCCCCACCTTGGATTTGACCGAACTAAGCACACAAGAGTACTTTTAAGGGGTGCATCAGTTTCTAGCTATCTGAAAGGATGGTAGTGCAAGCCCTATAACCCTCTGGTGTTGGTAAATCAATTTGGTTGGGCTCCATGTAAGTAAATGTCTGTACAAAAGCCAGCCATGTTTTTACTGAGCAGTTAAAAGAAAAACAAATTCCAAAAAATTTTTGTTTACTAAGAGTAGCCTCATGTAAGCAGTGTCTGATATATTCTAGGAACATTTCCATATCCCAGGTATTTGTAAAATTTTTTTCTTTACTATGAAAGGCCACAATTTGAGAACACATGAAAAAGATTGGGAAAATAACTTTGTTGTTTGCCAAATGAAGCCTACTATTAGTAAGTAATTTTTTTCATACTTTGACCTCTGACTTTCCCTTGAAATCCTGTACAATTTCACTTTGTATTACTTCAATAATTAGGCAATTTTATGATCTGTCCAATTTTTGGAGAATCTGGGAAACTTTATGATTTCTCCAAGATGTCTGAACTCTCAACATGGCTCAGAATTACCTCCACCTGCTTGGTGAACCTCAAAAGGGATTTTTTTCAATTGATGAAACTTTCTTTGCTTGCCAGTTTTATGGGGAAAGAACCCTTCAACAGGTTAAGTCAGTAGGTATCTGGACTAGACTGGTGGAAAAGGGTAAGTGTCCTGAGGAAGGAAAAATAATTGAGAGCTATTTACTTGGAGAGCAAGCTGGAATGCAGTTTCTTTGTTTTTCTTACTCAGACTGTTACAAAAAATTTATTACAGCATATGAAAATGTTTAATTTAAATTTAGATGTTCCCTTTACCAATAGACTTGAAAAAATGTTTGCTATTGCATCGACAGAGATGAATGATGGTGAAATTGACAACAATAGAATCCACTTGTTGTAGGCCTCCTTTGTAGATGCGCACGCTTACTGTGGTGTCTCAACAATAAAAAACATACTTGGCCTGTTGAACATTTTTCCCTATTGCACCCCTTGGAGAGTCACCACAATCTTTCTTGACCCTGCATGATTCCGATGTTCACAAAGCCAAATTCCCTGCCATGTTCCAAGATTCAATTTTCCATTTGTTATTGGAAGTGTTACACTTGGTCCTACAAGAGCTGTTTTGACATGTCCTGTTGATAAAAGAAATATCATGCTAAGTCAGAGATGACAAAGGGAAATTTTTCTGGACTTCCGTCTGTCTAAGAGTATCTAACTTTTTAAGATGCATCGAGGAAATTATTTTTTATCATGCCTGGAAAATCTATTAACTGTGAAAACTTGTGCATGGATTTGGTTGAAGCTGATCAATGATTTTACACAGAATGCAGCAATTATGATGGCCAGCTCCATTTTTCCCAGTTCTGACCAATTCTTCCCCTTTCTGTTGAACAATTTTCACACATGCATTGACCACAGGAGTGAAGTCTGAAAAGGTGGGTGCAGCACAGCAATCATCATTTATCTTGGAAAATCCTCAATAGATCTTTCCTTAACCTCTGGATTTTCAACTTTTTGGGGGATCAACTTTTCCAGTCAACCTAACTTTGGCTCTAAATTACAACTTTTCCCCATCCACTATGAGAGCAGTAGATGAGGATCGAGCTCCAATACAAACACAAACAAACAAATAAACAAACAAATGAACAAACAATAACAGTCGGACTTAAGGTATCAGTAGCGTAGTTTTTAGAAAAATCACACTACCTCCTTTTTCATTCTTTTTCAAATGGATCAATAAAATATTCCTGCTGACTAAAAACCTGTTTGTTTACATTCAAATGGTGTATATAAAAATGCATACAATAAACATGCTGTAAAACTTTTATGTAGTGCAATTTTGGCCTTAATCAGAGTGTTTTTGGATTGCAAATCAAGCATGTTTTCCCAGTTCAAATTCCACTTCAATCAGTTCCACTACTGAGTGTGTTAACAGAGATAATAGGAAAGAAGAAAAAATTGTTGTAAGCTAAATAATTAGTATTAGAATGATGACTTTTGCCCAGGTAAATATTATGCAAATCTCAGTTATCAGGAACATTGAGAACTGCTGTTTATTAGCATGGTGTGTATGTCTTACGTTGTACTTGTGACATGGAACTAAAAAAAATAAAAAAAATTAACAGAGAAATATAAGATTTGCTCTGTGTACACTCACAAGAGAAATAATTTATCTTTGATGCCAACTGATAGCCAGGGATGAACTTCACAACTACTTTTGTTTGATTATTGATTGATTATCAATTTCTCGATACCAAATTCAATACCAATCAACAAACCATAATCAATTGCCACTGATGAATTCATTCATTTTCGGATTTTTGATTATTCACACCTTGTTGACAGCAATAATCACAGAAAATTGCCGAAAAGGAAACAACTTAAAGTTGCTTTAATGTGACATGCATTAGATACTTCAATAATGTACTCATTACACTAGTTGACTGAATAAACATTGCTCAACTCGGAAAATTGCAATTCATGCCCATCAACAAGGTAGATTTCTTACTCTATCCTCGGTGTAACTATTTAGCCATCAACCCAATCCCCCCCAGTCCCACTCGTTCTTTCCAAGAGTGTGCCTTGTGTCAAGAAACTGTGGTGCTGCGTCGCTGGGAGAATATAACAGGTAATTTAGTGTTAAAAACTGAGTTGAAAACGTAAATTGGCCAGGCTAGCCTTTTGACTCTTTATGGTGGCCGGTTTACGTTTTCGACTCAGTAATGTTAACACTAACTTACCTGCTTAGCTTTCTGTAGTTGTTAAGAAAGGAATGTTGGTCAAGTTGCAGAATTCTAACCTGGCATATCATCCGGTCCCTCAATAGTGTGTTTATATGGTGGACCACTTTCTGGAACTAGACGATTAAGCATCATCTCCATATCCTTACGGACAGAGGAATCCCAACATTCATTCACGCATATGCTTGCAGATGTATGTTGCAACAATAAATGAGCCAGTCCGATCTTGTACTTCTTTAGTTCCGGTATACTTTCTATTTCGTCCGTTATGATATGAACTCCGCGGGATTTAGGCTTTATATTAACTAATGTTTGGAACCAAGCAGTTGGTCCGCTGGCGGCCATGTTTTTCCGTGTAGAGACAGAAAATGCGCGGTTACATAGCACGATCTCGCCAAAGAAACTGATCCGCGAAATTGCAACAAATTTATCACGAACAGACAACAGGAAAACTGGCAATCTACTCATTTTGATTTTTTGTATCATAAATATACATATTTTGGTAAAATTTTCCCAGAGCACGGATAATTTCCTTCATCAAGACCAGCTCCAAGATCAAGATCTGTTTCTGTTTACGGAAACCGCTGGACGGAAAACACTCTTGGCGGTAAATTCATTATTCCACGCGCGAATGATCGTAGGCATTCCGAGCGAATGGTTTTGAGCTATTTTCGTCTTCGGGGATCGATTTTACATCTCTGCCGCCGTGTTTCAACCGGTGAAGTGGTAATGGAAGCTGGAAAAAGAGCTGCAGCGAGATATGCTGTGGACACATATGTAAAGGTAAAGAGAGCTCAAAGTTTGAGGCAAATTTGCATGTCATGTGATAAACAAGTAGTTAAGAGGCTACACACAACCATCTTTTTAGCTCTCAGTTATCGAGTGTATATTTTTAGAGACGACGCATAGGTTTATCCCAAATACACTCCCCTGAAGGATGTTTTCGCCTTCTTGTAAAATACTATTGTTAAAGCATTGTAGTCGTGCAGATGGGGAGTTCAAAAGAGGTGCTCTAGTAATGAAGTCCACCTAAACTTTGTTTATCGTTCATGTTATTCGCTGAAAGGAAAGGGTTTCATGGCTATAAGTGCTTCGTAAGTGAGAAAAACCGTAAAAGCGCTAGAATCTAAAGCAGTCTTCCCACACCTCGTCAAATGAGAACACTTCCAAGTTAACCACAAGTTAGTCAAGAGTATCACTTTACAAAGTGTGGATCATCTGATTTTTCGATTTAGTGCTCGATTACATAGGGAACGTGGGGCGGGGGGAGGGGGGGTGCAAGAAAGGTGGGGTTGCGGAGATAGAGCATGAGCGTCACTTGTTAGTGATGTGGCTCTCTCATCTGTGGTAGCCTTGACTTCCATTTTCAGCCCTTTGGCCACTCAAATTATTATTATAATTTTTAATAATTAATAATTATTAAAAAATTATTATTAAAAGGTAATAATAATTAGGGTATGACACAAGTCCACAATCTAAATGAAATAACTTTGTTTTCAATTAGGTTTTATTTGTGGAAAATGAAATATTTTATAGGATAATCAAGCACTAGGAATAGGCTCTGGATCAACAATAGTATATGCAGTCGAACGTATTGGTAAGTTAGAAAATCATCTGCAATGATGATTATATGATTTTTGGGTGAATTTTTAGGTTTTTTGTGTGTCCAATTGATTACACTGTTACATGAGAGTAAAATGTTTTGAATTGATGATTCTGCCTGTATTTGACCTACATGTGGAAGTGCTTTTAATAAAAAAATGCAAGAGAATTCTAATTGTAAAATTGACCTACATGATAAGTTACACAAAAATGTTGCACTACTGCATTACTGCATCTTAGGAAACCACCAGCTGTGAGTAAATAAGCCACTTTGCAGAGGTGTGTAGTATTAGGCCTTTGCTTGTACTTCCAGTCAAATACTGTATAAGGTAATTTGGAAAGAGAATATTTAATCTGTTACAAAATAGTTAATTCTTTTTCTCCCTTGAGTGTGTAAGGCAAAATTTCTCCTTCCATCATTGATGCATTATCAAGCAGACAAGACTGAGAACAAAGTATTATATCAACAAGGGTATTATTAATTGATCCAGTAACAAATTCTCTGCACTAACATCATAACAATTGTATAGCAGACAGTAAGGAGAATTACAAATGAGATCTTTGCAGTGAAAGAGTTAACCTATTACCATTGAGATCGCAATATTTTGGGAGAGCTACCAATTTGATTCCTAAAAGTCTTCTGTTTTCATAATTTTTTTTTTATTTTTAGCTGAAAGAGTGAAAGATGAAAAGCTGCATTTACTTTGTGTTCCATCATCATTCCAAGTAGGTGAATGCTTAATTTAATTCAAGTAGCCAATTATTGTATGTAACATTGTGTTTTTTTCTTAGTGGAGTGTGAAATATTTTATACCTATTGTAGAATTATTTTGTGGTGGCCTCAATGGATCCTTACAATGACTACCATCTAATTTCTCCTCACCATATCTCTCCTGAATCAAACATTACAGTACAAGAATAAAGGAAATGATCACCAAATAAAGAAGCTCTTGATTTTTAAACAAATTCCCTCAGTCAACACCTTTGGAAATGTAGGGAGAACAGTATGGAGAATATACATTTTGATGTTAGGGTGTAAAGGGTGATACAGTATTTTGATCAGAGATGGTGACTCCCAGCCATCTGATTGGCTGTTCTAGAGGACCTTCTTATGTCTTGTGGAGTTATTTTTTGTTATGATTCTTTTATGAGTGGGTTGTTAGTTCCATAAAATATCTCTTACCATCTTGTCCTCAATTACTCCTGGTCAACAATGCTTAAAGAACCTCTGAATATATTGTAGATGATCTGTGTCATATATCCAACTTAAATCATGTAACCATAACATTTTGAGGTAGATTAATAAGGATTGTGACTGATTTTAAGTTTATGTTTCTGAATTGTGTCCATGTAATGACTTTAAATTGATTTATTTTAAATTTGATGGCTGTAGGCCCAGCAGCTGATCACACAACACAACCTGACGCTTAGTGATCTTGACAGAACGCCTGAGGTAACTGGAAGAAAGAATTTGTGTAGAAATGTTCTGAAGTAACGTATATTATTCTGTACCTTACTAAAAGCTCTTTAAGCTTATGGTTTGTCACATTTTACATGTATTTACCAACAAATAAAATAATTCTTAACCATTAAATATCAGAAAAAAAATAATAAGAGAGTGTAAATAACAGTGAAAGATGATGTTGTTCAGTGAGTGACACATGCATACTCAGAAAAAAAAAAAAGTTCTATTGCTCCCAATGACCTTGGGATTGGAACTTCAGACTCTCCACCACTGAGCTACAGGAGACTTGTGGCAGCAATGCCAGTTAGCTAGGTCCATGGGGATAAACTTCCTGCATACTACTAGGATAGGAATGGGGATATGGGATGCCTTTTTGTAACAGTGATTTACATGAAGAATTGGTAAATCTGGAGCCTGGTTAGTTAAGTGAAAGATGGTGTTATTTAGTAAATGACACAGGTTTCTCCTATCCTGTATCCTCCTTTACTCCACTCCCCACCCTCATCGTTCCAATCCCTTATCCTTCTCAACCCACCCCCATCCACCCTCCCCCACTTTTGTGTCCTCCTTACTCCATTCCCCCACACTCATCATCCCACTCCCTTAACCTCCTTCACCTACCCCCATCCCCCCTCCCCCACTCTTGCACTTCCTTCCCCAATCCTCCTCCACCCTCATCATTCCATTCTCATATCCTCCTCTACCAACCCTTACTCCTGTTCCCCCTTTCCCCACCCCTCTACCCTTGTCAACCCCACTCCCCTATTCCCTCTTAGCCCACTCTTCTACCCTCTTACCCCTCATTCGCATACTTTCCTCCTCCATTCTACCATACTCCTCTCCTCACTCCTATCTTTTCCAAAGACTTAAACATACTTGGCAGTGTCTTCTCTATTACATGCACTCAAAAGTTCAAGAATCTTCTGTGCAATTCTGAAAGAGGTGTGTGATAAACAGGAATAATAGTAACACTGTGGCTTTCTGTGATGATAGTTAGATGTTGCTATTGATGGAGCTGATGATGTGGATAGCAACTTAAGTGCCATTAAAGGAGGAGGGTATGTTAAAAGCTGTATCTATACTTGAGATTTCAAGTAGATCTAATAAATTCTTTCAACATTCAAAACAATTTGTGTAGTAATAAACACTGCAATGCATTATGTAGATGATAATGATAGGACACAATGATAAAAATAAGCAGTGCATTTGTACTTTTTCTTGGGAATTTTTCATTTAGGGAAAAAAAATTTATAGGGGTTTTACCCATTTGAGAAATGTATGCTTTTGTTGTATTTCATTTATATTCTAATGACTCTGTCATGTAAAACAGAGATCGGGATGTTAACACCAGACACTTAGGAAACTGAATTTACCCAATTTGTTTCTTGCATTTTCTCTTTAGGGAAAAGTTGTTGCAGATCTACAGATCTTTGGCTTGGTGGTTCCAAAAGCTGTAGTATTGATTTGATTTTGTTTTTGTTTTTGTTTGTTTTTTTTAGAGGCTGTTTAACCCAAGAGAAGATAGTAGCAGCTTGTGCTAAACAATTTATTATCATTGCGGATGACAGGTCAGAAACAAAGTTCCATGGCTTTCTCACAAGCATTCCTGCTTTATTTCTTACAGTACACTTTCACTTGATTAATTTGAAATCTGAAGCAGGAATGTTTTAAGAATTAATTTACAAGGATTGCAAAACCCTTGTCAAATATTCTTGAAATGCCCTGCTCTACTCTCAATCTTGAATCATCTGCAGGTGCTTCAATTTTCTCCAAACCCCTTAACTCCCAAGATCTCCTTAGTAATTCTCCTAACTGTCTGTAATACAGTTCTTGTGATGTTAGTTTTGGAGAATTTGATATTGGATCAACTTATAATCCCCAAATTCTTATCACTTGTCTGATTGATGTTGTATTGATATTGTAAGGAGAAACTCTGTCTTGGTCACTCATGGGAGTTAAAGGGTTAACTAAAGTAATGTTTAAAAGGAGGAATGGAAGGGACTTCTAGAGCTGGAGGGGTTTTTGAAGAATTATGACTTGGATCGTACATTTTAGATTGACAGACCAGGAAGGCATGGTTGAGAATAAGATCTTATCTAATGAGTTCTAAGATGTTAGTAATGTTTTTTTCTTTTCCTCTCAGGAAGGATTCTAAGCAGCTTGGTGAAGCAGTAAGTACATTTTTATCAATATGTTTTTAATTAAGGGTTAGCTCAATTTTTTAATTTGGTGTATACATGGAATCAAAAATTGTTCAAAGAATGAATTAATAAACAGGTGCCATATTGGCAATGAAAGTGATTGTAGACAGTCTGATAAATAAATGTGCAGTATTGTTTTCAAAGGACATTAAGAATGGAGTGTCAATGTCTTTTAACATTTCAGTTCAAGAAGGGAATTCCAGTTGAAGTGATCCCTATGGCATATGTACCTGTGATGAAAAAAATAGAGAAACTTGGGCTTAAACCAATCCTTAGAATGGCACGAGCTAAAGCAGTAAGTACATACAGACAAACAAATGATTTCTTTGTATCAATGTTGTTAAATGACCCTCAGAATGGGAGCTCATTGATACTGTGCCTGCTTATTTCTATTTGGCAGCAGTCCTTTGAGGTGACATACCCACCCCCACCCAGAAGAGAGGGGGTGGGAGCATTGTGTGCCATTCCAAAGAAAAGTTACAAAGTGCCTCAGTGTTTGGTGTTACAATTTAAGATCATATCTGCTGATGTCTTGTTCTGCAGCCACATGAATAGTCCTTTGAGATGTCACACAGCACTCCCTCACCTACCCCTTCTTGAATGAAAAAAATGGAGGCAGAAGTCTTGTGTGACATCCAATAAAGCAGCTGCCAAGTCCCTTTGTCTAAGTGACCTTTTAAGAGCAGATCTGCAGATGTCTTGTTCAACGGCTACAAAGTATTTCGGGTCGTTCGCAGAGCCCCTTGTAAAATCGATACGTACCAACTATTGCAGCAAGCTCCCATAAGTTATTTGAAAGATATGCTTTGTATTTGCACACTAAGGCATAGGGTGTCCACTTACTTTTCTAATCAATTTTGGCCGCTGTTTTATCTCCCCAGGGTCCTGTGGTGACTGATAATAGCAATTTCATCATTGATTGCCAGTTTGACAAGGTAAACACTTATTAACTCGGTAAACTATATTTTTGTTTGCTAGAATGATTGTGTCAGTCATTTATTGTGTCAAACCATAGGCACAAATGTAATACTATTAGTGCTAAGAAACGAATTATGGAGGTTGGCAGTGTTACTGCCTCGTGATCAAATTGGTGCCAAACAGATGTTGATATCTGCTAGCCTGCCTATAAGAGTTTGTCCATCTTGTTATTATCCGTTTTTGTATTCGCGGAACTGCATTCTCCAACAACCAGTTTGGAAAGTCTTTCTTCAATGAAAAAAAGCAATTCTTCATTAGCTTGCCAGCTGGGCCTCATTACGAGCGCTTCGTGCTCGAGCGTTTCTCCGCCCTCGTCGTGCAACGCGAACTGGAGAGAAGCCTGCAAGGAGTCTGGCACTTCATTAGAGCCAGACCCCCGGCAAACCTCTCCCCGACTCGCACGCGGAGAAACGCGCTCTGCAGCGTTAATAATGAGGTCGTAGTCGTAGGCTAAGTTTTCATATTCCCTCCCCTCCTATCACGGTCTTTGATTGACAGATCGATAGCAAGTAAATATGTCATTGACAGAAGGTTGAGACGTGAGCTATCGGTATCGTTTGATTTACATGGAATTTTTTTGGAAGAGTTTTTCCTGTGTTGCTTTAAGGTTTATGACTGGAAAGAACTAAACACGCAATTGAATTTAATACCAGGTTAGTATACGTTTTTTGTACCTCGAAACTTTGGTTGAGTAAAGGAAAGTATGTATAACTTGACGAAAATATCCGAAGCAGACTAAAGTGTCTATAAATCTTTGCCGCTCTTTTGCTGTTTTCATGTGGGTATACTTTTGATTTCAGTGTGCTAAGATTACTTTCCTACTAAAATTTACAAATCTCCACCTTGACAGTGGGGTTTGGGGTGATTTGGGTGCGCCGACCAACACATGCATAACGTTTTTTGATGTCGCGCAAGGGTGCTAGGGGTAGTACCTTCGAGTTCCGTCAAAGGCAGTGAAAAGGAGGCCACGCACGATGGCGTGTGGGTCTGTTTCCTGTTTTTCTAACTTTTCCAACTTTTCATATTCTAGGGGTGGTAGAGACGGGGCTGTTTGTTGGTATGGCGGAATGTGCCATATTTGGAAAACCGGATGGCACCATCACTAAAAGATAGCTTGACATTTTCTGATTCAAACACACTTGCTGGACAACGCCACGCAAGTGCATATGGACAAACGTTTTTTTCGTCGATGTAAGGCACTTTTGTTTTTTATAAGGCAAAGTCTGAATTTTTCATAATACTGCTACTTGTAGAGCAATGTACTGTGCCGAATAATACTTTTTAGCTTGCAATGCCGGTAGGTTTTTGGACGCTCGATGAAAACAGAGGTAGCAGGTCCTAGGAAACCAACTTCGAAACTTTGATAGGAACCTCCTGGAGGTTCCGCCGCATGGTTTTTGCGGTTCTGCCACCTGGCGCATCAAAGGGCAAACAAAAGTTGCAGTTCGGCATGCTATGAACTTTTATTGGGGGGAGGTGGTGGAAGAGCATGCGCTCTTTACGTTGAGAGTCACTCATTTTTGAATGCATTTTTGATGTCAACCCATTTCCCTCCAGCCGGAAAAGGCCCAGGTAAAGGCAATGTACAGGCGGTTATTTAGCGGTGAATGTTATATTTAAAGGGAAGCCTCGACGTGATTACACACTCAATGGTGCGATTTAAACAAGAGAAAACAAAAAAAAAGTGCGATTCGTGAATGTGCAATCAGAATGCAGAATGTCTAAGCTGAGTCATTTTTCCAATCATAGAGTGCAAGGATGATAAATGATGGTGATTCAAATGAGAGTGGATGTCAATAAAATCGTTGATTTCAGATTAAACTGCATTACTCGAAGTTCGATTGCTACAATATTCAATCCATTTTGTGTAGTACAAAGGGAAAATATCTCTCGTTGTTTAACCAAAAGTAAAGATGAATCAGGCGAAACAGGAAACACGTATTATTTCGAGGAAAACAGTTGTCAACCAAGCGATGGCTTTTAATTTTCGCATGAACCTAACCCGCCTGCCCCGCCGGGGTAGAAAACGAAGAAAATGAATTACTATTGTTGAAACTTTACGAAAAACCCGAGAAAAGATGCGACGCGTTTAAAATTTAATTGCCTGCATACATGATTTTAGTCGGTACAAATATCTCGTCGTCATTCAGAAACTTCGAGAAACTACGAGGCTTTAATGAGCAATGCGAGCCGTCGAGACGTCTATTTATGAAGTATTTATTACTAATATTAGTGCCCGACCACCAGCAAACCTCTCCCCGACTCGTTTCAAATCTTCCCGCCGGCGGAGGAACCGGCACGCGTCTTGTAGCGCTAATAATAATGGGGCGAGCTTGAAGGCTGATTTATCGCGGCTTCAGAATATAATATTAAATGCTTATCGGCTCTCAATCGGTGATACCTGAATCAGAGCAGATGTTACTTTGCGATGAGAATCACCTTGAGCTTATTTTTGTTCAATATTATTATGTACTTGTTGGTGCAACGTCAGTAACTTGTATATATGTTAACACACTGTTGTCGTCAAAGGCGAGAAACGGATTAATCCTATACATCCTAACATCAGTATGCGTATTCTTTATACTGTTCTCTAGACATTTCCTAAGGTGCTGACAAGGAGACTTTGTCTAACAGTCAAGAGTTTCTGTAGTTGGCGATCATTTTCCTTACGCTCGTGACCTTCATGTTTGGTTCAGGGGTAATATTGTAAAGCCAAATTAGATGCTAGTCACCCCAAGGAGTTAAAAATTGATTTTAAAATGTGATTGCACACTGAGTCCAACGTTTCTGAAGTATCACAGGTTCACTGCTTGACAGGCTTCATCCATGTGCATTACATGTCGGCTTGTCTCAAAGCTTAACTTCGTTTCTTAATATGCTGTTACTTCTTATTTTGAACAACTTTAACGAGTGAGAAGTTTTTTTTCGCATACTTAAGACATGCTAGCTTTCTCTTGCGACTACAAGCAGCGCGTTCTCTTAAGGACTTGATGATTCCGCTAATTGCAAATCTTCATTCTGAAGAAAGCGGATGTTGAGCGTCTAAATCAAATAGAAAACCCTTAATAATTTCTTTCATAGCTCTGCTTTATTTTGCTACTTCAGTGTCTCGTATTACACGTAACAAAGCGCGCTTTACCAGAAAGGGATGATAACCTTAGCAGCGTAAGACATACAGTATCTCAATTTCACAGATAGATTTATTAACTGAAAAAAAAAAAAAAACAATTAATGGTGTATTGCAAACACCTGTAAAAACTAATAAAATCTCCGATTAGGGTGTTAATTTTAATATTTACCTTTTACAACGTTGCATGTGGTTATCTGCCTCAGTGGGACGGACCATTGTCACCTTGCAAGTTTTCATTTAGGATGAGTTAGTGTGCTGTTTTGAAGCTATTATTGATTTGGAAATTGATACGAATTGAATGAGGTCGTTACAATTTGGAACGCAAAATTGAAATCGATCAACGGTTTTTTTCTAATTAGAAGTAATTTGGGCACGTCAATGCATGTAAAGAGATCAGGAGTGTTTTAGTGATTCTGGAGCTGCAGACTTCGATCACGATTCTAAAAACAATCGCAAGATATCACGTTTCTATTTCTTATTTGAAAGTTGTGTCCAGCATAACTTGCATTTCCTTTAAAATTGTCAAGCAGAAGTCTTAATCACTCATTCAATGAGACAGCCGAACAAAGCGCCGTGTGACATCACATTTCTTATTGATATAATAAAGGTTGTTTACTTTTAAAGGACATCTCCGATATTAAAAGTCGGTAGGGCCAATTTCTAGTACCCTGATCCTCTTTGATGTCATATACTCTGCCCGCCTGGAGACTTGCATTGTGAAACGCCATCTGATCACCCAACCAAGTGAAAACCTGATGGCCAATTCAACTATGGAGAGGACCTACGAATCTCACCACCCGCTCGAACTAAAAATTCTCTTCTACGCTGCTTTCATCATTTCTCTCCCTCTAACTGTATTCGGTAAGTTCTTCACTTAACTGCTTAAGAAAGTTTTAAATTTACGACATGTGCGAACAGGGCGAAAGAAAAAATTGCCGAAATATGAAGTAAATAACTTGATTATCGCTTAGTAAAGATTTAAAAGTTTTAGAATGACTTTCAGCGAAAAGAGGAATTAATTTTCCAACGAAGTCGTCACACAGTGGACGATCATTTGTTTAACTCTCGATTAAATATTGAGAGAATATGTTCTAAAAATATAAGTTTATGGTTTTTTGAAAGGAAATAATCCATCCCCTGTGATCACACTTCATAATGTATGACGAGTTGACTTTCTAACTCGGCTGAATAAACGGGTCGAACAACTTCGCCAGCAACACTCGGAGCACTTTGTTTTGATCTTTAATTTTCCACAGTTGTGTATTTTTCAATACTGAAATGACTCTTTGAATGAAAATACCCGGGAGAAAAAATATGGCCTGGTATATTTAGAGGCTATATTTCTGGGGAGCCCCTTCTAAACACTTTTAACCTTTTCGGGACGGAAGAAAAGGGTTTGACGATCTACATAAGAGTGTTCATTTTATTTGCTTTAAAATGTTTGTCCAAAGAGGCAAATTATCCACGACATCTTTTACCCTTTTTCAGTAGTGATCAAAATTATTTTTTGGTTGATTCATTCAAAAAGTCGCGTAAAATATTTGGTAATAATTTCTCCAAGACTTCAATTTGATTGAAAACGGCCCTCCATTCGTTTCAGATTTAATTTCTCGATATATTCGCGCGGATGTATAATTGTCAGGATACAATAAAAGGCTAATACAGTTGTTGGGCTTTTCAATCGATGACTAAAAACACTTCTCTCTGGGGTAGTTTGCATTTCAATAAATCCACTTATTATTTTAACGTAAGTATTCGAGCGTGACCTAATAATTCTTGTCTGAGCTCAAACGAATTCAAGTTGTTTAGTTCGCAGTTATTTTTTCCAGCGCAGGCTTCGTTGGTAGCGTGTAAATAAGAAAATAACAAGGCAATATAACTAAGAAACCGCGATTTTTTCGTGACAAATCCATGACAAAATATGTGAAACCCTTTAGAATAACATCTAACAGCTTTAAAACGGCTAAAAGAGCACTTATTTATTTATTTTTTTGGCTTCCTTTTTCTTATTCCAAAAGATAATCAGAGATGATGAAGACCTCATGAAATTTGGCATCAGAGCTTTTAAATTTCAGCAAAGCCCACATATCTAAAGATTTAATTTAAGTCATTGCTAATTTGATGTGTAAACCGTTTGTGGCCTTTCCTAATTTCCTTGATGCGAGAATAATAGTGGTGGATTATTAATATCGCAATACAGAAGCCATTATTTTCATTAGTTTTGTTAACCACGGCAACCAAAACTCAACAAAAACAGCTTTTCTTGTAGCAAAGAGCTGAGTGTGAATTAAACTGAAGAATCATGAATCGCTGGAATTTTTCTTGAAATTTACTCGGTAAAATATATTTTATTTCATGAGCTGTGTAAGGAAGAGAATTTCAAGTCCAAAAGTTTAAGTTGGAAAGGTTTACAACGCAAGTTTCAAAAGGTTCGTTCTATTGATCTGCGATGGCAAGTTAGAGGAACGATTATCAGAAAATAAGTTCATGGTAAAACTCTAACTTTTATCATTCAAACGAAACATTGGGTAGTGCTATCTTTTTTCGCCAGTTCTGAAACAATGATATTAGATACTTTTTTATTACTTCAAACAAGTAACTGAAAGTGCGAGAAAAGTGAAAACACCTTGATAGATGCTTAAAGAATTGAGCTACGCTTTGGAAAAGACAGCCAGGACTGGACTGGTTTTTCGTTTCTCTTCAAGGCCAGTAGAACTCGCCATTACTTCTGAAAAATGGGAACATTTCTTTGTTTTAACGGTTGAAATATCCAACAGGCAGCATTGGTAACTGAGCTTTGTTTTCTTTTTATGCAAATGTTTAATTTGCTGCGGCTTTCAGCTGTCTAAATGGATTTGTATTAATTTTGAGTAACGAGTTTTTACTCCATCTCACTTATTGCTGTCAACGCGAAAAGACAGCGCGCTTCCCAGAGGAGGGGGGGGGGACGGTAAGTGAAACTTGGGAGGGGGTGTTGGGCTGCTTTGTCCTTAAAAACGAGAGCCATATATGTAAACCCCGCAGTGCTTAGCTGAAGTCTTGTTTTAAGATGCCGGTCCAAAACGTCACCCTTTCTCGTAAGCTAAAGAGCAAACCTGTTTGAGACTCAAGGCCCCCATAACAAGACCTAATTTTGCAGCGCATACATTTTTAGGAAAATTAACTGAAGAATGTTCATCTTCCCCCCTGGAGCGTGCTTGTAGCGGAGGAGTAATTTGGGTGAGCATTATTTCATCAACTGTACGCCGACATAATTGAGACGAATATGACAATCGGAGGTATTAAAATATCTGCCGATGTCTGACTTGTGATACGATTATCGCGCGGAACTCACGGCTATCACGCGAAAAGTGGGTTATTTACAGAATATATTGAAAAGGGGGCCTGGATGTCAGAGAACATCACAAGAGCCGTCTAAACGAACAACATTTACTTTTTTTTAATTACTTATATAGTTTATGGTCGAGGAATTCCCTCTAAAACCACATGACCATTTTATTGACGGAGAATCGATTTCCAAAAATATTTCAATTCTTTTTCTTGTCCCTTACGCTTTAAAAAATTAGATAACGTAAAAAATTGTAATAATCTGAAAATTTTAGTTTAATAGTAATGTCAAACATCAATTTCGATTTGCATGGATATATGAATCTTATTTTTTGTCTTTTTTCATTGCCGGTGCTATCGATTCTTTGATAGCGGCGTCTTTGGCACAATTATATCGGGAAACTGTTGGAACATTTGATGCACTGTTTCCGTTTATATTTGTCAGCTGTATTGAAATTTGCGCGGCCATCAACTGCTCTCCAGTATCGGAGATCTTCATATCTCATATCCCTTGGAAGAATTCTGAATGTTTACAATACAAAATTTGGACAATACTTAAAAGCCTTCTTCAAATTTGATAGAAAGACAAAAAAAAACCAGCCAGAACTGTGTTTTAAATATGAATTGTATTCCATGATTACTCATTTTTGGTAAAAGTTTTCCTCTCTGAAATAGAATCAGAGATAGATTCAACGAGTTTTCTTTTGTTGTTGTTAAGATAGATACATGAAAAATGAGCACAGATCGAGATCAATAAAATTGGCATTGTTTTACCTTTCTTTTCTGTTTTGTTGGAGATTCTAGTTGATTTGAGAGTTTCAGAAGACGACGACTAGAATCGTTTTGGTGAACAGGAGCGATTTAAAACGTTCTTTTCAAAGCTGTTTCATCAATCGATTTGAACACCGATCTCGGCAAATTTGATCTACAACGAAAGTCGATTAAGGATTCCACCATTGTGGTATAATCCATCAATTGTTTCTTAATAAAGCCAAGCATGGCGATTTGGCGCTTGAACCTTTATATAAATGACACGCAAAAACATAGCGCCAGCCAGAATGTGAATCGCGTTCTTCAGCTGTTGGAAACGTTGACATCTATGCATGCAAATGCAGCTTCCTTTCTTCTGGTAGAGGGGGGCTTGGGTTGGATTAGAGTATCACCCATCTTAAAGCCCATCTGGGGAGGCCTCTTTGACAAAAACGTCTATTTCTAATATCTACTAATGACCGAAACCGCGGAAGTACAAAACGTTGTGAAACACTTTTAGGCCTAACGTATAGACTCGAATAAACGTTTTGACACTTACGTGATATTTTTTTCTCCTCAAGTGCGGCGCTTATTTGAGGGTGGCGCTTATTCAAAAATTGGATTCAACGAAGAAAAAAATGTTGTATGTTAATTAAACGGTATATTTTACAGCCTTACAGAGGTGTCTTTTAATTGTCACCATCCGTCTCTTCCCTCATTTTTCAATTTCATTACCAGAGGTGTCTTCACTCCATTTCGATCTCACTGGCTCATTCTTGATCTAAGGTACGCACTCTTCCAAGTCTGAATCTGTGCATTGAAAAGGATTTGCTTATTGTTCTCTCGACATAACCAACTGCGTATGTAACATTAAAGCTTGTAAAAAAAGTCTTCGAATAGGCACCGAATCGAGACCAGAGACAGCTCTTATTAACTTTTCTATGGCAAACGCGGCGCTTACTCGAGGGAAACGCTTAGTCGCAGGCGACGTTTTTTTTCGAGTAAATACGGTCTTCTGTGAGCACAGTTGAAAAGCATTGCGACATTCTTCTCAACAACATCGTCCTGGGTTAACAACGTTCATAATTAGCAAATATCCCTCCGATTCTGCATGTTTTGCAACAGTTTCATACATTTTTTTTTACTTCTTTTAGGAAATGGTCTCGTCATATTAGCAGTTGTTATTAATAAGAAACTCCGTTCCGCCACCAATGCTCTGATAGTGAGCCTGGCCTTTGCTGATTTGCCTGTTGGTCTGGTGATCTTCCCTCTTATCTCCTTGACACAGATATACGGGCCAAATCTACACTATGGCAAGCAGTTGTGCAACACAACGATCTTCTTTACTGAGGTGTTCCTGAGCGCCTCGTGTCTTCATTTGTTATTCATTAGCTTGGATAGATATCTAGGTGAGAAGGCTAAAAACACTAAATTAACTTGTTGGACTTTATATTAATTATGTATTACTAAGGAAGGCGTTGTTACCAAAAACACAGTGTAGTATTCCCTTTAGCTTCAAGGTTTAAATTCCCCACACAAAATATGAACATCCATTTATTATGTATAAATTCTCTTTTGTGCTCTCTTCTCTTCCCTTGTAAACAAGTTGTCCGCAATCATATTTGAATGTGACCAAAAAAATTGATCCTTGGCCATTTTTTTGCATTCAAATAAGGACCTAAATACCTTAATTACAAAGAGGGAGGAAAGGTTTTGCGCCTTTTATGACGTAAAAAACACGGTTGGGTACAGCGATGAGTGTTTTCTTGTTAGAAGTTCTCAGTCAGTCTTCGGAATAAAATTATCGTCTAGAGTTGAGCGTGACTGCTTTAGAAATCTGTTTTAATTGGACGCTCATGGAACGCATGAGTCGCTTTTTTAAAAAATTTTCTTTTAAATAGCAAGATCAAATTTTTTAACCACTCGTCTTCTCTTTTCTCTAAACGTTTCTTTCGTTTAATCTCTTTATAGCCTTTATAGCCCAACATCAGTATGCATATTCTCCATACTGCGATCTGCACATTTCCCATGTTACTGACATGAAGATTTGTATATCAACTAATAGCTTTTTTTCAGTTGGTGCTTATTTGCTATATTCTTATAACCTTCATGTGTTGTTTAGTAGTTATACTGTAAGGAGAAGCTCGATGCTGATCACTCTTGGGGTTAAAGGGTCAAGGCGGTTAATGAAGAATTTTTGCCTATCATACGAACCATAAGATCCCATCTCTAAAGACGTCAAAGATATGCTTTCACTCCACCCCAATCCCCTCTCTCAAGGTTCCAATACTCACCGTGCCTGCTCCCTTTGCAGCAATCAATAACGCTCTTCGTTACCACGCTATCGTCACCGCAAGACGTATCGCTTACGTCATAGCCTTCATTTGGACTTTGTCCGTGCTCGTGGCTGTGTTTCCTTTCCTTGGTTGGCGGGACGTCCGGCCTCGTTCCCAGGGAGGCTTTTGTCAGTATCACCTGAACCTCGCTCCCAGTTTTATTCTTTTTCTGCACATAACCGTGTGCCTGACACCACTGACCATCACATGTCTGGCGTACTGTAAGATATTCCAAGTAGCTCGACAGCAGGCTCAGAAAATCGCCGTTATGACGGTGAGATGTGTTGCTTCTTTGTTTGCAAGGATGCATTGCGGAAAATAAACTTCGTAACCAAAACAAACAGTAAAAAACATACAAATACATTAGGCAAAAGAAAATTAACCTGAGGAGGAACAAAATGTGTAGAAATTTAAGTGGTAACGATTTTACAAGTGATTGGGAAGCAAAAAATAATCAAGAAAACAACAGCAACAAAAAAACATCTTAAAACACTGTACATATTTGAGAGATGATTCTGACGACAAAAACTCAGGTGTTAACCACTAAATCATGGTGATTCAGCAGTCCATTTCCAAATTTATCCAGACCTCCACATTAGGACACAAAAGAGGAAGGTATAATACATAAATTGAAAACTATATTTTAGCCCCGTCTAACCCTATGTGGGGGGCGCAAATGCCATGAAAAATGTTTTTAGTCCGCATTTCCTTTCTTCATAATTTGAAGGTTTGCATAAATTATATGGAAATATAATTGTTAAGAACATTAAATGCGTTATACGTTACGATCAGGTAATAGTCGTGAGGAGACTGTAACGAGGAGGGCGTGGTCGTTTGGTGACAGCTTTTTCAGAGAGCCCTATTCTTACCATCGTCTACTGCACACAGCATCTTTTTATTCAAAGTGTGTAGGAATTACATCAAATCTAATAGAATCAGTCTGGATGAGGTATTGGGATAATAATCCTATAAATTGGTGATTTTTCGGGCAAAACGTTCATTGTTTCTTGCAGGTTAGTGGAAGTGAACAAGAAAAACGCCGTAAGAAGCTGGAAAAAGAGCGTAAAATTACTCTATCGGTTGCGGTTGTTGTTGGAGTGTTCATCCTCTGTTGGGGGCCGCTTAACGTCATGCTCATCGTTTACTGTGTATGTCATAGCTGTGTCTCTTCTCTTGCTATCGAGGCAGCGGAAGTGTTCTCCATGTTAAACTCTGGCTGTAATCCACTCATCTATGGAACTTTTAACAAGGACTTCCGCAGGACCTTTAAGGCTATGTTACAATGCCGCTGGCGTCAAATCAACCGTGAAGAGATCGAGGGCTCAACCCAAGTGGCTATGCGCGCGTCGAAGGACTCAGTGGAAAGTGCGAAGTGAAAATTATCAGATACAACAAACAGAAGTCGGTTCACTACGATTTTCATTTCGATTACCGGAGATGATTTTTAAATCTCAAGTTGAAACGCACAAACGAAAAAAAAAAAAAAAGATTTAATGAAATCCGTTAAGAAGGAATTCCAAGGATCAGTGATGCGGTTATGAGCTGCTTTTGAAATTTAAAAGGGACGCTGCAGAATTAAATATGTCTACATAACAATGTTTTATCGCTTAGGGAACGTTTTATCCTTTGCAATTTGAAATTGAATGTTCCAATCAGTCAGTCAGTATGTCAACCAACGCCCCACTCACTGTTTGCTAGAAAATTTAAAAAAAAAACATTTTCATTCAGGAATTTCGGCAAAAGTTTAACTCCTCTGTTTAAGAAACGGACAAAAATTTCCTTGTCCACACGGTAGTGGTCACCGCTGGCAGAAAACTTGCCTGCATCGTGGCGCATGCGCATAATAAAGACTGTGAACTTCAATTGCTCTCTAAGTCCGTAATCTGATACCCCCCTCTATCTACAAAAAAAGATTGCAGTTTAACAAAGGCTAAGGCGGATTACGAGCTCTCGCCTGGCCTCTTTCTTTTGAAAAAAAAAGTGAATTCGTTCGTAAGAAAAGGCGAGCCAACCTGGTTAAAAAAGGGAAAAGGAAAGTGGTCTGAACTTCGACCAAGTGGCCCATTAAGCCGGAATTCTATTTATCCCGGTTTCTGTAGCATGAAGGGACCAGGGAAGGGGGTGGGATGCTAATCCATCACAGTTAGCCCCGGCATTTCGTCACGTCTTTTTGACAATTCGTAGGTACCCATCTATACTCCTACAAAGAGAGAGACACTGCGAGAGTCACGTGTCTTGCCTAAGAACATAACACGATGAACTGAGCAGGTCTCGTACCCAGGCCTCTCGACCCGGAGTCCAGTGCACTAACCGTCAGGTCTTTGAGTCTGATCAGCAAGATTGTAACCGTGGTTGAAATGATCTCCTATGAATACCCCAGCCCGGTTATCGAGCTAAGACTTGAAAGTTTGCACTTACACCGTCTTCGTAAACAAGCTGATATTATGCTCGGGAACTGTGCTCAGGTTTAATTCTCAACCGAATAACGGGATTAATAAGTAACCGATACCACTTAAAAGAGCATGCACTACGCTCACTACTCACGTGTGCATCAAACGGAAGGCAGTGTACGTAGGTTCCGTCCAAACTTTGCCGAAGTAATTTGAAACCAGTACTTTTTCTGTTAAATTAGGCCGCTACCGCAAACACTTATCTGGATACAGATCGTCAGCCCAAAATAGAGGTTTACGAAAAAACTCTTAGAAATGGTTGATATCAAAATGGCTTTCCGTTGTAGTAAGGAGGTCGTCGTTTCACTTATTAGCGGCGTTCATCTGAAAGACAAAATTTAAAGCAAAGCCGCATGGTAATCAAGCCTTTTCATGCAACCGTGAAATTGGCAAATTTAAGTTGGAGTTTTAATCAGGAGAGAAAAAGATGTCGGCTTCTAATAGAAATAAGACACAGCTGCTGTCGAAACAAAGACCGTGGGATGACCAAAGAGACAGCTTACCCGATTGGTGCTTTGAGTCGCAGCTAATTGAAAAGTAAACATCGCTGACGTGTCATTTCTTTAAAGTGAATGATCTGGAAAGCTCACCTTGGGAGGCCTAAACAGAATTGACTTTAAATATACAGCCGGTTTTAATAAGCTATAGTTAACATGGAAATGACGTATTTCGAAACGAGCACCATAGTAAAGAAACACAAAAAAATTGTTTCATTATCATGTGGTGAATTGATATCATTGTTGACTATATGGTTTCCTCACTGAACTGTCAATGAACAAAGTTCGTGATTTTGTTGGTTTCAATGCTTTTCTTTCTTGACGAGGAGAACAAATTTTTATCATGATAATAGGATTGGTATTTCAGTTGAATACTGATTATCATTATGATAACTACTTAAAAGTTAAAGATAAAAGGTATCTGAAACTTGTGGATGCCGAAACGCAGACCTCAGTATGCATTAGGTAATAGCTCAAATTTTACATAAAAGATAACTGAACTTTTTTCAGTGATAAACAAAACGAAATAAGTTGAAGGTTATTTGTGATGATTGAAATTAAACCTTGAAAATTCAGAAAACTGTTTACGTTGATCGAAAAGACGCCACAGAGTTGGCAGATTGCTTTAAAATTACGGTCAATTCTAAACTGAACTGGTTGCGGCGACTTTCAGTCAATGATGCAATAGATTTTCATTTGCTGCTCACACATTTAAAGTTGAAACCGACATTGGTTGTTATTCTGATCAATTTTTCTTTTCAAGTAGACCCTCCAAAACTGAAAAACCGCATTTTCTTTATTCAGTTGAAGATATCGACTGGCTAGGTATACCATAATGGTGTCAATTACAGATCTGCAGCGTCTTAGGAACACATCCCTCTGTGTAAGAATGATAAAGATAATTAAGTTCAATGAGGAAAGGTAATAGATATATTCTAAGGGAATGGTTCCATCTTGAACCTTCGATCGAAAAGACGCAAAATTTTATTAAAACCGTTTTACATGACGGCCAATTTGCTGCGTGTTTCGATTGCTTTCAAAGAAATACGCGACAGATTTTAATTTACCATCAATTAACAGTTTATTAAAAACTGCAGTTACTCAGTTCAATAACTAAGCCTTGTTAAATGGAACACCGCGCGCAATTGCGTTTCAAAGAAAACTTTAATCACCTTCGGTAGTCGTTTGCATTTTTACGATTTTCCATTGGTTTTCACTAAGACACGACTTAAGTGACGAAATTTTCATGATAGCGAGAGAAGAAATCACAGTAAGCCGGCTTCTGTGAAGCTCGCTTGATAATTTCCCCATAAAGTGCGAAATTAGCCGCCGCAAGTTAGTCGCAGAGCGAAATTTTGCAGTTAACAGCAGAAATCAGCCAGCTTTTTAATCAAAAGCACTATCAGGTAGGTTTTCCTCAAGGAAAAATTGACAAGAAAGGCTTCCTTTCTGATATGTAAACAACTGAAGGCGTTCCAGGGTTGCGTAAAAAGTTCGTGTTAAACTGAAACGAATTAGCCTAATCTGCCAGATTCGAACGCCTTCCATACACTCAAACCTTCTTGCATGATTCTCAAATTTGCTCGGGACTGATTTTAGTAACCATGGACAAATTTTGATGCGGGTGAAAATACCTCGTTGATAATGCTGGCTGTAACATTGTGCAAAACCTTAAATGAAACACACTTGGAATTACTTTATTCTAGAAGAATATTCCACTTATTTCTAAAAAAAAATGTTTTTTTGGGCAAATTATACGGTACAGCTTTGAGCTTTTGCGATCAACGTGTAGTTAGCAGTTCTTACGCAAAATTTAGTCCGCTCCACTCATCTTGATAATCAGTATGTACAGCTGAAGTGTGAACCATGACAAAAATGTGGAAATATTTATTTTCATATGATTCTCCGCTACGAAATGATCAAACATATGGCAAGATCTTGAGATTCTATATCATTTTTGTTTGCTCTTTTTCGGTCAGTTGACATGCCTGATATGTGGTTTTGGGTGAGTGGATGGGTTCTAATTTTAGTCACTGTGATCGGCAATGGTCTTGTGATTTACCTCGTCATGACAAAACCTCGTCTCCATACCCCCGCCAATTGGTTTATCTTATCGCTGGCTGTGGCCGATCTGTGTGCAGGGTTAGCATTCTTTCCACCCATGTTCGGCGCCAAATTCTTCTACACCGTCGACCTCACCCATGCTGGTCTCTTTTTCAAGGTCAGCTTCGCCTTCTTGTATTGCTCCAACACCAATCTCTTCGCCATGACGGTCGACCGCTTCCTTGCCATCACAAAGCCTTTGCGGTACATGTCTTACATGACGAAAGAAACTGTTTGGGCAATGATTATTACGGCTTGGACTGGCCCATTTCTACTCTTCTTTTTGCCTTCCATCTTCACTTACAATCACAATCCGACATTTACCATGTTCGTGGAAATATCCCGAGTGCTCATTTTCCAGATTCTGCCCCTCGTTATCTTTGTCGCTGCGACTTCTCATCTCCTTCGCATTGCCTGGAAAGTCAACCGCCAGACACGGGAAATGATTTCTCAAGTCCGCCACAACCATGCTGTGAACATGAGTGGACAGAACATCCAGCGACCTGCAGTATTCAGAGTGCAACACAGGAGTTCCACCGTTTTGATCATATTGGTGATGACCGCCTTCAATATCACGTACCTCGGAGGGAATTACCGCTGTCTCTGCTTTCTCACTAATTTATGTCCCTTCGCAGGGACGCTCAGATATATGGTTTATCTGGTGCTGATTGCCAACACTGCTGTCAATCCAGTTCTCTATTCCTTCTTTAAGAGTGATATTCAAAAAGAACTATTTAAGTTGTTCTCAAGGTAGATAAGTCATAAGTTATGGCACAGCACGACTCAAAAAGAAAAATAAAGCAGCCATCTTGAATTGCGTTTGGATTCCAGTTTCATCTGTTTGGCTCTTTCGTCTGACATGCTTATAATTACTTCTTTTGAGTTTTCTATCATTTGGTTAGAGGTTTTTAGCCCCTGAATGCTGAAAATTTGTTGTCTGTCTGTCAGATCTTTAGTCGTCAACGAGCCTCCCGCATTGTCAAAATAGACAGATGGGCGCAATATACTTCATTTTGGAATGCACACAAAGATTTTAACGCAGAATATAGTCACGGTAGTGGTAACAATGTTTTGGTGGTCAGCGGGTGAATTCTACTATCGTTTCACAGGAACGCTTTAGTTCTCAGTTGACAAGCTGGTTTTTACGTGTCTTCTTGAGGCCCCGTTCAGTGATTAACTATAAAGATTAAAAAAAGAAACAGGTCGAAATCGGGTTACGGAGGGTTTCGCTCCAGCTCAATTTTATGATTCATTAACTCAATTTACATTTACGTAGTTCATTGCGTTCATCCTGTCATGAATATAATTTTCTATTACGAGACCCTAAATTGTTTTTCAGTCAGTTCTTTTTACTCAATAGGGTAGAAGATGTCAATAAGGACAAAAGTTATCTCAAATATTAAATTAAACATCATATGATTGTTATTAATGACCCGATGTTTTATGATGAGCTGTTGTTTTAGCTTACAAAAGTTCAATTAGGCTACCCAGCAGTTAACTCATCTAAATTCATTATAAAACTGAAAACGTCTTTTGTTTGACGAGGTTTATCGTTGCGTATCGGAATGCCTCTTGTGCGGTCTATTATTCCCTTGGCAACTGTCGGATGAAAAAAACAAAGGTTAGCTAACCACGACAAGTTAGGCAACAAAGCTTTCTGCTTCGATTGACGCTACTCAGTGTAGCAACTGTATCGAAGAAGAGCGCTATATTGGACCGACAAGAGATCAAAACTCGCGAAAAGTTTCTTTTAGACACCATGAAAGCAGCGCCTTACAATCCAACTACGACCAGACTTAAAGAAGCGATTTGCGACGGGAGAATGTATCAAACTCGGCACCTTATTGAGAGCGGAGTGGACCTGAATTTTGTGGACGAACAGGGTTTGACTCCTCTTATGCATGCCGCGCAGTTACCTGACGAGAAATGTCGCACACGTAACAGCTTACTCAAACTCTTGCTGCAGCACGGTGCGAATGTAAACATCGTTGATAAAAAGGGCCGACATGTGCTGTCTAGGGCTTGCATCGACGACAAAGAAGATATTGTTAGACTACTGGTTAATGTCGCTAAACAGGACGTTGATTTGAACCAACGAGATTTCGACGGAAACACTCCAGTCATGCACTCCGTTCGCACAGGTAACGCCACTTTAGTGAAATTTATAGTTAGCGAACTGAATAAGTTTCAAGTTGACATAGATGTTCGAAATCTCGAAGACAGAACACCTTATTTGGAGGCCAAACGACTGGGGAATGAAGAGTGTGCGACTATCCTGTTGACTGACGGGAATGCGTCAACAAATATTCAGGTGAATCCTTTTTTGGATTTTATGAGCGTAAAAGAAGAGAAATCTTACAACGGCACTGTGCGAGTTGTCGAGGAAAGTAAATATGCTGCGATTAGCAACTCTGCTGAGAGGAAACAATCTAATCCCCGGAATATTCAAAAGAAACACACTCCTACAAAGAAGACCCCTACTTCGAACGGCGAGAAATCGTCTTCAAACCACGAAAGGGTCTTGAAAAGGAAGACAAGTTCACCCAGAAAAATTTCAAGTGCAAATTTAGAGACTGTAGACACCAAACACAAGGAAAAGTCTCAGTATGCCCGCCGGCGTAAATATGCGTGGCATGAGAGAATTATGAAACACCCGATATCACGCAAGGAGGAAGTTGAGAAAGTATTAGAATTGGCCACAACAGAATTAGACAGGGGGGCGGATAACGCTAACCCAGACGGCATCAGTGAACTCAGTTGCTCATTTGACACTAAAAAATCTTTTATTGAAAGACAAGCAATCGCAAATTCTAAAGGACAAACGCGTCGGGTGATAAATACAATGGCAAATGCTACTTCCGTTCGAGCGGACACAATTCGGCGAAGTCAAAATATCAACACAAAGTTGCATCCAAATTCTGTTGTTGGCCGGAAATCGAAAGAAATTTTCATAACACGCAATCATAATCGTTTGTACCCTTCGCCAAAAACTTCGGAAAATGCTGCTGTGGACGACGAGTACAGCTGGTATTCGCACTTCAGTGTCTATAATTCCCCATCGGTGTCTTTTCTCACTAAAATAATGGCCATTTATGCGGAGCAAATGTCCCCCGACTCTTCTTTTCGTTTCGGTGCCGGCCCGGAGAGGACTACGAAGAAACCCGACGAGCCGATGGTGCCAAAGATCTCTGTCGTAGCTATGGGGGCCAATGAAGACCTGCGATCCGAAGGAGGTCGTTATTCTCCATCAAGGTCAGCGCTGTCTAGCCGGTGCAACAGTGCTTCAAGCACCACCTCGAATCGTAGATTCCAGTCGGCTGTATCAAGAACAGTTGCATCATATTTATCAGGGAAAAGATCTCTTTCAACGCTCAAAGTACAAGATGTAGATTTCTGATTAGTACGTGGCCTGTCCAGCAAAAGCTTGACAGGACAGGACAAAGACAGGTTTTGAGTGTTAAGTGGTTGCTTAATTCAAGCAGCTATTTTCATTCATTTTTAAACCAACCAAAGTTATTCAGCTCACTAAACAATACACTCATTTTCATATGGAGTTTTTGTTTGTCACAAATTTGTTGCACCGATTAGCTTTCCAATTAGGATTCATGGTAGTTTATAAGAAAGAAGATTTGCATCATTTTATTTCACTGTATAATAAGTTGGGCTTATGAATTGTTCGAGACAAAGAAAGGAACAACTCTAGCTAAAAGAAAATCAGTGATGCAGAACATAACACTCACGCCACACTGTTAACCTACGGTCTAAGATAAAACGAACTCTCTTTTTCCTTATGCCGCGTTATTATCGTTCATTACTTTGGTTTTGAGTCACGCTATGAAGTACAGTCAAACCTGCATTATGAGGTCAGCCACGGTGAATAGCAAGGTCAAAGCTTGATACAGATCCCAAAACTTGGATATTGAAAAAACGATAAAAAAGGCACTTCATGCCGTAATTGACCACCAACACTCGCTCAAAAATAGTGTTAACATCGACTTTGAGTAGTTACCCTTTAAGTGATCACTTTAAGTATCGCTCAATACAGGTGAGAGACAAAACAAACCGGCCGTCATCTCGTTCCCACACTTTCCGCTACTTCTTTTGTTCAAATTTGCGGGGGAATGGAAACCCACTTGTGTTCGATTTTGTGGGGGAGTGGAAACCAGACAGTGAAGTCCAGGGAGTAAGAGATAATTACACGCAAACTTTTGAAGTGATACCTTTCAATTTGTCCTGCTTAATTACCTCAATTATCATCCTTGTAATATAAATTCTATGAAGCCTGCATGAGGTTTGGCAGTTAGCCACGTGACCTGAAAATCGTTCATGGGATCGATCTTGAGGCCAGAATTCGTTTGCAGGACTTCCCAATTATTTTGCTGCAAGGAAAATAAAAAAAATTCCTGTGTATCTTATCATGGTTTGTGGCAAGCAGGTCTGTTTAAGAAATAAGAAAAAAAAAAAAAAATTGAAAAATAACGTGCCCCGTGTGAGGATCGAACTCACGACCTTCAGATTTCTAACATCAGATTATGAGACTGACGCGCTGCCTACTGCGCTAACGAGGCATTCACGTTCCTATGAGGGAAATAAATATATATTTAAACATTTTTTATTTTTTTTCCACGATTCCACCAAACCCAAAAACTATATCAGTTTATTAATCCGGGTTCCTCGTTGCTTCTACCCAAAAGAAAATACGAGACAAACTCTGCGACATATATTAGCGCTTACAATATATGTATACACGTGAGGAAGAGCGGGATCCTGGTGGCAGAAGTAACATTAAGCCAGGGATTGTCACTGACTCTAGGAGACCACAGTGCATGATCTTCATTCAAAATTTATGAAGATACAAGAAAGCTTGTTGACGGAATCTTTACGTTCAACTTCTCCTACCATTTCTGTGTTTGAACTACAACCTTTCTCTGGTTCTCACGTCCCGTATTATTGGTTGATCAGTCAACTGACAATCTGATTCAACTTATTTTGAACAATCCTGCAGCAACTGAATTGATTTCCAGCATCAAAGGTGATTTTCCAGTTATAAGATACTGTTTACGCTATTGAACTCCAGGATGGTTCAATTATTAGAAGACAAAAAAAGTGAGAGCTAAAATTTTATGATTTTTTTTTAATTAGATACTAAATGGCTTGACAATAAATTATGAAACATTTCACACTTTTTATAACATTCTCACTTGGGTTTCACTCCTGTGATACTTTTTTCTTCTATTTTTGTGCAAGCTTCTACCAAATTTTAACTTAAATCGTAGGTTAACAACAAAGGTGAATAAATAAAGGAGCCAGATGAAAATACATTATCTGACCTGTGCACTTGATATATGTGTGCAGTGGAGTAAATACGATTAGTGGCGTAGCATTGTAAAAACAATTAAGCCACCTACTAAATAACATGCTAGGACTAAAGTCAATAAATAATGAGTAATAGATGCAACTGAATGCTGAGTAGATAGTTAAATCATGTTTATAAGTACTAATAAACCTAATCATATTGAAATAAAATCAGTTGCGGAAACTTCTGACGACACTGGAAACGCAACACGGCCGTAAATATGCTTTCACGATTATCTATTTAGCATACCATACTAACTTCCTTTCTCCTGTAGCTGTTTGTACTTGTCTACGACAACTCAGACTATCAAAAAATGAAAACAAACATTGCGGGCACGCACTAGTCACTGTAATACCTTATATGAGTTATCCTCTAATGCTCTTGGTTAAATAAATGCGTCATTTTAATGATATAACGGTATGTAACCTTTCTATTACTAAAACGATAACTAGAACTAAAAAGGACTTGATGAGTCAATGCTAGCAATTACAGACGTGTATCCAGTACCGCATCATCTTCTTCGTAATCTCCTGTTGAATAACAAAGCAACTCATTATCATGATACTTTAGTTAACATTGTCGCCTAAAACAAATAACCAAGAGTTTTGGAGTAACGAAGAAATATTTCCTCTACCCAGACTGATAAGCGAGAAATTAATGCTCCAAAACTTTGAATTTTGGCGAAAATGGAGGGTGGCAAAACATACCTTCGTCTGCAATCAGCTGCTGCTGTCGTGAAGATTTATCTTCCGCGGACTCATCAGCCTGCTGTGGGGAGTCCCCACATGCTCCTTTTGACTTCTCGTCTTCCAGTTGCTTTTGGTTGGGTTTTTCATACTCTCCTTTTGGCTTTTCAGTTTCCAGTTGCTCTTGTTTAGGTTCCTGATTCTCTCCTTTTGGTTTTCCTTGCTGCAGTTGGTCTTTCATAGGTTCTTCATGGTCTTCTTTTGGTTGTTCATAATCCAGTTGCTCTTTCTTAGAATCTTCATCGTCTCCTTTTGGTTTTTCTTGTCCAATTTGCTCGAGTTTAGGATCCTTATGGTCTTGTTCTCGTTCTTCTTGATCACAATCAACTTGCTGCTTTTCGGTTTCTTCAGGGTGTTCTTCTTTCTCCTGCTCATCTTGTTCATTTTCCTCTTGTTGCTGTTCACTTTCGTTTTCATTTCTTTTCGACTTGTTCTTCTCTTTACTTGCATCCTTTAGCTCATCAGGCCCTGCATGGTCGACGTTCGGTTCTTTTTCTTCTTGTTGTTGAGTGCCCTGTTGTTTGGATTCCTGGTCGTCTCCTTTCAGCTTTCGCTCAGGTTTTTCATCGGCTTCATTTAGCTCCTGTTTTTCTCGTTGCGTCTCACTTACTTCTTTGTTTCCCTTTGAATCTGCTTGATGATCTTGTTCAACTTCCTGCTCTGTAGTTGGTTCTTCATGGTCATCTTTTGGTGCTTCGTTTCTTTTAGATTCAACCTGCTGCTGTTCAGTGGGTTCTTCTTGGCCTCGCTCTGGTTCTTCGTCTTGTTCACGTTTAACTTCCTGCTGTTTAGTCGCTTCTTCTGGGCCTTGTTTTCGTTCTTCGTCTTGTTCACGTTCAACTTCCTGCTGTTCAGTCGCTTCTTCTGGGCCTTGTTTTGGTTCTTCGTCTTGTTTTTCCTTGTTTTGGTTCTTCGTCTTGTTCATGTTCAACTTGCTGGGATTCAAAAGGTTGTTCATTGTCTTCGCCTGATCCTGCATGGTGCTCACCATCTCCTTGTTCTTCTTGCGATTCATCCTCACTATCGTCAGTGCTCCCCACTTCCTCTTGGTTTTGTACTGTGTTCAATAAAATAAACACAAAAAGGGAATAAGGTTAAAAAGTGTTTCCTCAGGTGGTTGTAGTTGGCCAAATCGCCAAATTTGTTAAACGAACTACACCGTGCTTTTTGCATTTGGTAACCGCATCGTGTAACTTCTCCGTCCTCAATCATTTACGCTCCGCTTTTACTCTTTCCGAATATCTCTTTGTGGCTTTGATACCTTATTAAAACCATTATTTGAAAACTTTTCACGGTCGACCAAACAAGTAGCCTATGTTGCCGTGCGTCTGTTCATTCATAGATAACATATGACGACAAAATGTGGTAACATCAAAAATGTGGTGCACTGGACTCAGCCGATTAAGTCTCCGATGTTCTTAGCCCATTTCGATTTTTTATGTGAGTGTTTTATGACAAAAAGCGAAATATTGTTAGTGGTGAAAAAATCTATAAGTCTTCCCTCCACTAAATAATAATTGAGAATCAGTCAAAGTAGGATTAAGCATATTACATAAAGAAAAATTACAGTAATTAAATTGACTCAAAATGTGGTTGTCTGTAAACTTCAAACTGGAGGCTAAATTACTTTTTACGCGTTTCTTATAATGGCAAAAAGGTCGAACCGAATTGCTTCAAAGTTACAACAATGCTTTTCTTTGGCTTTTCTGTTTTGCTCTTGGTTTTTGAATGCTAGGTATTGCGTTCTGAAATTTGTTTTAGTCTGTGGAGAAGTGAATGGTGCGTACCTTCTTCGATGACTCTCATCTCTATTCCCTGATCTTGAACTGACGGAAAAATACAAGCAAGCGGACAAAACATCAGCAATAACAAATTATTCATTCATGAGGCAACGTCTTTTTTTATCATTTGAGGTTGAGTCAACCTATGTGTTTAAATGAAATACTCAAGCTCACGCGCCACTAAATACATAGATCTGTTTGTTTCTTATTCATATGGGTAACCAAAAAGTATCTCTTGGCTTACGAGCCGATCTGATTGATTAACCCACGGTATATCTGCTCTTAAACCTGTTTAAAACGTAACTTTATGGCATGAAACCAAAAAATTAAAGAACGAGAAAAATACTCCCCAGAATGATGAAAGATTATTTAAAGTGTCAAAAATTACCTTCAACATCTTGATTTCGGCCGAGTTTTGCCACCAGATAATCCCACAATGGTTGGAGTTTGGCTCTGATGACTCCTCGGACCTTAATACATCGAAACAAAACACGAGGTTATAATCAGTAAATAGTGCTTCCTCACCAGTTTTTAAACCCTTCGAGTCTTTGATTTCCCCAGGAATGCAAACTACGTTTGCGCAGCTTTCCAGCCACTCTCAAACCGAGTGCGATACAATGAAAACGTGCACGTTTTACATACAGAAGAGAGTTCTGAGGCAAAGGGATCTCAGAAATGGCGGAAATCAAGTTTACCAGCTGATATAAAATACGGTAAAATTATACACAGTGAGACACTTCTTGGCGGTTCGTGTTTCACTTATTTATTCTTGTCGAATTTAGATGTGATCTGTGATCTGAGAGACATGATATAAATGCAAAATTTAACTTATTGGCTGAATATATACTTTCCAACCGCTCAAGTTATGAGTACATGTACCTGTGGGGTAGACAAGGTGTAAAGAATGGGATTGATGGCAGAGTTAACCGGCAGAACAAAGACTGCGATCCAAACTGCGAGGTCACCAGGTGTACGGAAGGATTTTTCCAAGAGAGACCTCATTCCAATCGCCACAATAGGCAGCCAGCAGACACAGTCGGTAAGAACAATGAAGAACACTCTTTTGGCGAGCGAGGCCTCCCTCCTTAGATCGGCTGCCCTTGCCTTGGCTTTCATTCTCCTCTCTCTTTCGGTCCCTTGCTTAGCCATGCGCCTGTTTGATGCGCAGGACTTATAGATTATCATCGCATATGCCACAACGACAAAGAGCACAAGGGTAAAGTTTAAACCCACAAACATGGCAACAGAGTACTCCCAGCCCGACGGCTTATCTGTGGAAAGCTGCAATGGCAGACATACAACTGATCTGCCATAAAAGTGATGACCTTTCTGGCGACTACCGAAGTAGTCGAAGCCCACCGTGGGAATAAATGCAATTATGCCACCAACAATCCAGATAAGGAAGCACAAAAGGTGCGTAACCTTAAGTGTAAGGGACTTTCCACGATAGGGGAACAGAACATTCTTCATCCGGTCGGCGGAGAGCAAACAAATCGTCATTACAGACACCTCACTTGACAACACGGCAATGGCACCTGTTATCTGACATGTCAAACTTGAACGCCAGTAATAGTCATGCAAATAATACTCCCCTGCCCAAATGGCATCCACCACACCTATAGTTAGGAGGTAGACACCCATAAGTCCATCGGACCCAGCCAAATGTATCAACATGATGGACTGTATCTTGTTTTTCTTCTTCGTCTCCCTAAACACCAACCGCCACACAATGACAAACACAGCACCAACCAACGACATAATTCCAATCACCCAGAGGCACTCCCTGGGAGCTCGATTTCTGAACAAAGTTTCACAACTGGCGAAGCTGTCGACATAAGCAAAGTCGCAATCTGCATCCTCCTTCGTCAAATGGCAACACATCAGGTTGGTGTCTACAGTCCTACGGTTCATAAAAAGAGTTCAGATGAACAACAAAAGGGGAAAAAAAGACAAATTTGATCCGTCACAGGATCTAAATTTGTAAGAAAATGAAAGTGTAATAATAATAAAGTAAGCGCAGTATAACTGAGCACCGGCAAATGAAATTTTTCAATTTTAAACTCCTCGCGTGGAGAACATTCCACTTGACTTACGCAGTTATTAGATTCTTCATGTTTGTGAAGAAACCCTCCGGTAGTTCTCGCATTTCGTTGTAATGGAGGTACCTGCAAATTAAAGGAAAGCAATTCAGGCAAACTTTGCTCGCTAATTCTTGATAACATCGACATCTTTAGCCTATTAATCACAACCATTACAAATTCCTGAAATGTTATTGGTGCATCCGCAGCTTCATTTTTCACTAATCATTCTGTAAAGTTATAATAGGACAGTTTAATCGGACAGTTGGCTGCAATCGGAAACCTGTAATCGGACAGTTGAAGCAACCAATCGTACTAAGTCCACTCAGCTAATCCACCCATCACAGAAATGATCAAAATAATCACAGCAACAACCACTTATCCAAGGGAAAAATGGGGGATTTCCAAAATGGAGGAATTTTTAACTAAAGACATTGTCTCCACTGGAGATATTTGTTTTAAGTGCTTTTTTTTTTCGGAAATTCAAATGGCTATGATTAATTGGTAACAGGACTTCTTGTCGTCCAATTCTGTCCTTAATCATACTCGTGATTAACAAATCGGACTCTCGCCTCGCGGTCGTCCGATTTTGCTGATCACTTGTATGATTACAGACCGAATTGGACTCCACTCAGTCCTATTACCGTTATGTATTAATCAGTTTTTCGGCTCTCTCTTGTTCCTTTTCCTTCCCAATTCTCAACAACTATTCGATAGAAAACTAAAACAGAAGACGAGCAATTTGTCATTGAGTGTGTACGATATACTTACACAGGCTATGCCAAAGTGACTTTATTTGTTATACTGATATGCTTTTAATACTGCAATGAGTATCTGATGCACTCATTTCGAATTTAGGATGGGTCGCTCATTACAGAGAGGGTACTTTATGCGGAGGGACCCTTCCTTAAGTTTTTCCCAGACTTTTTCTTGTGACCAGATATGATCGTCCCAAGGAGTATAACATTTGGGCGTAAATAAAAGTATAAACTGTGTATTAGTGAACAAAGCCGATCCTAACTTCTAGTATATCAGTGGTAGTATGTATGTGAAAATCGTTTACTCCAATTTCCCTGCCTAAGCAATTCGGCCAGTGGTATGATCACTTGTCCATCCTTTAAAATGGGGGAGGGGCGCTTATCCGTGAGTTTACGGCACGTGAAGGTCGCACCAACAATATCTGTTTCCCTTGAACTCGAAGTAGTTTGAACACACCTGGAATATTACCAGTTTACTCATACTCACAGGAATCGAATACTTGGGGCGACATCTTTGAATTGTTCGTTGCTAACGGTACGGATATTGTTGAAATAAAAGCTCCTACAGAACGATGAAACAATGAAAAGCGTAGAGCGTCAACTGACAAGCATTAAAGCGTAAATTAAAACAACACTGGACAGAAAATTAGCCAAGAATGGAAGGCAATATCTTCCATTTGTTCAAAATGTTCTGCAACGAGAAAAGAACCTCACCGTGCATTAGACAGTGGGTCATACAATAATGTCACGTAAGTATTTTTACGAATTTTCACGTTACTGAGAGCTTCTTCAAAGTCACAGTTAAGTTATCAAGAATGAACAAAACATTCTCTATTTAGGTTCCAGATCTATTTCTATCCGCGTGGCCGATGCCGATTTAAATAACCCCATGAGTATAGTCATACCTATCCTCAAGAGGTTTTCGCGGTCGAAGTCTTTGTAAACTCAGTGTTTGAATCTGGAAGGGGATACCTTAGCAGGATTTTGTTTTTGGTGGTTAAAGAGACCTGGTGTTTCCCAAGGTTTTGTCTGATTTGCCTTTTGGTAGTTCTCTCTACCTCTAGTAAATATGATCTCTTAGTCAGCCTGTTTTCACTTTCACTATCGTAAATATTTCGTCGTCCATCACACATGGTTTTGATCATAAGGTATGATCTGTCCTCGGGGGTAGAAGATTGTCCATGTTTTTGGTGTGCAGCTTTGTGGGTCTCTTGATCTTCCCGAGCGGAGTTTGTCTTAGATAACGGAGATTCCTAACATTGCTATGATTGCATCTTCACGAGACCCTTACTAATTTTACAATACCTCGTTACCGTTAATAAGAGGATAGTTTAGAGACAGATACTTACATAGACATCATGTTTTTCATGCCTTTAAAAACTTCATGTGGCAGGTAGTCAATATTGTTTTCGTAAACAGCCCTAGAACAACATAGAGGGCACATCATTATTATCAGAAATGTAGAAAAATTTAGAGGTAAGCACGTATTTACATAAAATTCCTTCTTATCTTCATTGATTCTTAAATGCCCTCTGCCTACGATATCTTAGTCCGATATTGAAAACATAATAAAAAGGTGAAAAAAAAAAACTCACAGCCAGGGATGCGTAAAAGTTACACTGATATGCAGTTTGCGGTTACCTCGCTGAAAATGTTAAAACTTAGCGCATGCTTATATTTGGACTTCTATAAAAAGTATTGTTTCACTGATCTGTTAATTTTTTTCGGGGGTGAGGGAGAGAATTGTTACATCTCTAATTATCTTCTTTTCCTGTCTTTTTCTGAAGAAATCCGAGGTGGCAGTTACTATCTTGGATGGATGACAAAGAATCTTTTTCAGAATTCTGCTTGGGTTTCTGAGGTTCATCCAATCAAAGTACACTAGCTTCAAAATTTAGCGAAACTTTGGGCAAAAGTGGTGGGAGGAGGAAAGAAAGGTCTATTCGCCCTACTGAGTTGGTTAAGTACATATTTGGTCAAGAATAGTTACATGTGCAGTCAGATATGATTTCCATCGAATATTTACTTACAGTTCTTCCAGTTTGGACAGGCCTTGGAACTGATCAGGTGACAGGTGTACGAGGCTGTTGTTATACAGGTATCTACACAATAAAATGCAACAGACGCTCGGTATAATTACAGAGTCTTTGATGGGGGAGGTATTATTGACCTTAATGATATTTGGCAGCACAGAAGTGACTGCGAAACTTATTGATTCTTAAGTAACCTTGACTCAGCATAATCTTTTGAGGACCTCGAGACTAATTTAGTCCCGAACCCTGTCTTATATTATAGAAACTGTTTCATCCTTAATAAAAGTCTGTCGAATTAAACATGCTTATTATGGAAACCTCCTTCGAAAGCGTATTAGCGCCTTGGTATTCGGCAAACTGTTCTACTGCTCATCAGTGTGGTCCAACACTTCCTGAAGAAACATCCCATATATGTATTTGGACCAAAACGTTGCCACGTGTATTGTGACAAGAACAATTAAGTTCCATCGTGTTCCGCCTTCACCGAAAGGGCTCTGCTGGCCGCCAGGTAAACCTTAGTAACGCTATTGTGACATGTAAACGCATGAATGATCGGACGTGCACCCATTTATGAAAACTTTTTGAAAGCCGCTAAAGAATTTTAATACATTTTTCAAGAAAAATAACAATCGATCGTTACAGTTTAATTTGGGCTAATCATCAAACATCAGCGATCATTTCTAGCATATGGTCCTTGTCAAGCCCCAAGGGAAGGGTGCTGTTGAAGTATTGTAGGGGATGTGTTGTATTATATTTTGTTCTATCACCTTAAACATTTGAACCCTGGTAATTCTTAGTTGATGGCATCTCTTTCCAAAGTGGATGTTTATTTTTAACTTTTTACTCAATTAACATCCTTAAACAAACTTTTAAGTCATAAGAAGATGCCAGAGAAATAGTCCGTATCCAAGCTGATCCTTTGGTTTTGGCCAACGCGACCTTTAATTAATGCTTATTATACAAGACACGTACTGAGCCAGTTATATCACAAACGTGAATCACTTACAATATTTTCAACTCGGAGAGGTTTTTGAACCTTGGCAAGCGCTGAAGTTTGTTACTGGAGAGTAAGCTGTGAGTGATATATAAAATGAAAAAAAAGTCAGTTGAAATAGAATTTGAAGTTCTTGGAATGGTCCTTGTTCTCTCCAAACAGGCAGGTCTTTAACTTTAATGAAATGAAACCCAATTGGTTCTGGCAAAGCTATTTTGAAGACTTACAAAGTTCTAACCATTTTTTCTGAGTACATAAACTGTTTACTCTTGATCCTGAGAATTTAGGCAAAAGATACCATTTGCACGTTCATTGTTAACATGGGCGTTTTCATATCATGACGTCACTTTTCAGTACTGATGCACCAAACTATAATAAGTCACTTACATCACAAATCAATCTTAACAGAGTTCCCTGGTTACTCAGCCAAAAAATTATAGTCACAAGTCACGTGAAGCAAAAGGCTGTGTGAGGCCGATTGAATTTAATATTGACCTCTTTTTTTTTTCAATTGTTCTCGATGACCAACTCCACCAAAGTTAGCATTATATAAAGGCAGTAAGCATCTTGAAATAATAAAAAAATCTTAATTCGCAAAACTCTGTTTTTAAAATGTTTATATTGCATAAGTTTACTTCAAGCTCTATGAAAAACTGTACATCATAATTCCCTTTGCTGTGGAGTTTGTAGGGAATGCCACTTACAGCTTTTTCATCTGAGTCAGGTTGCCAAAAACATCCATGGGCAGACTCTGAATTTCGTTGTTTGATAAATCCCTTAGAGTGTTTATTGAGATAACAGTAAGCTAAATAACAATTCAAGAACTTAAATACTATTTTAAGAATTGACTGATATCCCGCTACTTAGGTTTTCTGGTATGAGCTAAACAAGAGCCAAACGAGCCATTCTTTATATACCTCAACATGTTTTTAGATATAAATTTTGCGAATAGAGACATTTTGAATACCCCTTACCCCATAAATAATGGCCAGGAATCACCAATATGTATGCAGGAGATTCACTCAGTGAAAAAATAACTCCATGCAGTAAACTGAGAGGTCTTTCTTTTAAGACAATAATTAATAGCAGGCCCACCGAACGCATTCTGAGTTTTAACACTAAATAAAACACACTTAGTGAATCAATTCATCACGTTGAAGCAGAAATAAGCAAACTCTTCAAGTATATATATTGGACCTGTAACTTTGCTTTCATTTTCTTTTTAACAATTAGTTTTACTTACAGTTCCGTCAGATTGATATTATTGCTAAGTATCCCTCGGGGCAAAAACTGCAACTGATTGTAGGACAAGTCCCTAGCAATGAAATAATCGGGGAGCGAAGCGAATTGAACTTGTCAAAAGTTGCAGTTAACAAACACTTTTAAATAATGGGACAAATGTCCTTAACTAAATAAGTTTTCGATTGCCATAAATCGATGTTATGTCCACTATTATGTGCATCGAATTTATTTGTACCGTATCAAGAAAATGATTTTGATATGTGTCGACTTTGACCTTTCCATCGAAGATTTCTGTATTTCTCATCCAACAAAATTTTTTCAACAACACTTCACTAAAACTTTTCAATCATTATACCAAAAAACAGTTTTATACAGGCTAGTTTATCGACAAACTTAATTTTGAATGCAAGATGTTTGACTCACCATGTGACAAGGCACTCATATTCGATGAATCAATTAAAAAAAAATTTAATAAGCTTATTTATATAATTATGCATTTTTATTGATGCTAACTGATGATCTTTTGGTGGAGGCACCTCCTAGATAATGTCACCATTAACAACTTTCTGTTTCTTCATTATCATACAAATAGATTCCTTGTGGCTGATTGTTCGTTTATTTAAAGATAACAAAACACGTGTTTGATGTTTGATGTTTGAGACAACGTTTAAAATTAGAGAATCACCAAAGTTTTGTTAAAAATTTGAGAAGATTAACTCTCTCTGCCCCCCTTCCTCACCCCCAATCCCCCTACATCAGCAAGCTCGTCATTCAACTGGTTGTGTATTCCCTGATAGGCCTGTCCCGATTGCGCTTGGCAACTTTTGAGCACCTTGTGAGGTTAGGAGCAAGTTTTTGCGATTCTAACAACCTTGAGCAATTCGTGCCTTTCTGAGCAATTTTTCTAAATAAGATAGGTGTAAAGCACATATCAAGCGCGAAAAAGCCAACGATTTCATTGAAAACTTTAAGAATTTTATGGTTTAGACTCTCAGAATGCAATCAGTAGAGCTAGTTTCATTCAATTTCCTTCATATCGTTCGGCAAAGCGTCTAATGAACCATGTGTTTCGTTCCTTTAAACTCAAGAGTATATATAAATTTGGCTCATATTTGTAAGCAACTCTTTAAAGCTAAGTTTCAAGCTATTTTTCTTGACCTATGTTAGCATTTATTGAGAGGAATGAAAAATAAAGCTTCAATTTATGTTTATAGAAAAGTATCAAGAAATTTAGAAGGCAACTTTAAAAATTCAGGTGGCAACCTTTTTGGACTTTTAGCCATTTTTTCAGAATTTTTTTAGCGGTTCGGTGAGAACCTTTCCAACCTAATACGGGCACAATCGGGACAGGTCCACCCCCTGATAATTGACATAATCAACTTTAATCGCTGAAAACTGACCAATCATTATCATTAGATGTTCAGTGATATTAATCTTTTACTTCAAATTTGCGAAGATTACTTGCTTTATTCTTAATAATTCAGCGCTGTGTTTTAAACTAGTTGATAACAGTGGATCTCATACAAACGCAATTTACAGAATAGTGATATCTCTAAAACTTTTGGAAAAAATTGTTACTTACAATTCTTCCAAGGCAGACAAATTAAGAAATATTTCACGTGATAGCTCTTTCAACTGATTTCCGCCCAACCGCCTGCATTAGGAGAACAACAATATAGTTTTCAATTGAGCAAAATGTATTGAATTACGGTTTGCATGGGTAATCACATTATTAAGCATTGAAGCTTGTTTAAATAAGCGTTTAAAAAAGCACGAACACATTTTTCAGACGAACAAAAGCCTCTTGGATTAGTGCAATTTTTAGTCTGAAAAATTAACAAGTAATAAAATATAAAAGAAAAAAGGAAGAAAGAAGATCAAAATAAGGGAAATTTTGACACCGCACGCTGCTATTTTATTTGAGATGCATCCAAATGATTGGCCGAAACAGATTACAGCGTTTCTTAAATTCAAACTTTATCAAGACTTTCATTCAAAAGTT